TTATCTTGCTTCCTGCTGACAGCCTTCCCACTTTCTGTTGTGTCCTCCTCAGCCATATCTTATTTTCACAGACCAGGTTGGTATTTCAATTCCAAATACAATTGAAATGTAGCATATGGAATAGAAAATAATAAAAACTATGAACTATTTTTGTATATATCTGATGTGAAGGTCCTTGAATGTGATGGGTCTGTATATCAGTAAACAGAATGTACGGTGTACCTGAAGAGTGTTTGCTGATGAGCTTCGATTAAGGTAGATGAAGTCCTCAACAACACCCATTGCTAGTATATTGGACCCCTTTTCTGCTGTTATTGACACTTGGGGCTCATAATTCCTTCTCAAATCCTGTACATTTCTTTAGGTCACTATTTTATCTACTCTCAAATTTATAACTGTTGGCTGTAGTTCTCACCTTTATGTTTGAACTCTCAGTGCAGGTACTTGAGCTATATAACCTGTCTTTGTACACAACCATTGAACTGATGGGTTTGTTTTGAATTCTCCAACTCCATGTCGGTGCTTTGATCTCTTTTTCCCGTTTATTTGTGAGCGTTAACTCCTGAAGATAGCTATGTTAGTTGTGCTTTTTTTGTTCTACTATGAATCTGGACAAAAGACAAAAGGTATCGGGTATACCTGTATGCTTGAATCGGTGCAGCCTACGTAAATCTTTCCTTGAGCTACTGCCATGCACTTTGCGCTTTTACCTTTGCAGATGCTGTGGAATATTCTCGATGAATCAAGCAGCTGGAAAGAACTTCTGCTTAGATTATCATTCACAGGTATTTCTTTAAAGAGTAACCATCCAGTTGAAGCTCTTATCTTGCAGCACTACATTATAGTCTGGGTTTGATCGAACATTGAGATATTACAATTTTATGCTTATGTTAAAGTATCCACAAGCTTATAGTGTAATGAGAAAGATATATACCTTCATCTTGTGCCCTTTGGTTATAAGATAGATGGCATTACCAAATGCTTCCAGTTTCCTTACTGATTCTTTTGCTGTTATAACTTCAACACATTCTAATTTTCCTTTAACTATCTGCCACATCTGTAAAAGAATGTGAACCATTTAGGTCATAAGCTTAGAAATTTCTCCTGATCTTAGTCATCTTTCCTAGCAGTAAAGAGCAGAGTCATCATACCCTGATGGTTTTATCAGCAGATCCACTTAACACACTCTCTCTTGGTTCAAAGAGAGAAAAGCATGTTACGGTGCTTTTGTGCTCCTTGATGTCCCACAAAAGCGTGGCCAACTTCCCATTTACATCCCACACCTGATAATCGTCCACACTTAGGATAAGATACCTTTATATGAAAAGATTGCTGTTTCATTCTCAAAGAATGAAGTGCCTTTTTTTATGCCTATGATCATTGTGCTTATCATGTAGTACTATATCATCGCTTGTTTGAATAGGCGTAATGTCATGGTAAGTTGTAAGTATAGTTTGCATACCTTGATTGAACCATCAGAGTATCCGCTGTAAAGTAACCCTTTGTGGTAGATGAGGGCTGTCACAGCTCCACTGCTAGTTTGACGCATCTCTAGGATTTGTGTATGAACGCAAGATATCCGCTGGTCCTGTTAAGTTTTAATATGATAAGTTTCATGAGTTAGATATTCCTGTCTAGGTCATGTAATGTTGAATATGGTTTAATTTCATGTTTACTTATTAATGTTTGTGGCTTCTTGTCTCAGAGAGAATGATGTGCTCCAGTTGCTATAAACACAGAAAGCGTGAAAGAAATCATTGTTTTCTTGCTTACGAATTTTTTTGGTAGAGATTTGAACTGATTCTATATGCATAATAATGTGGTTGCATGTGGATAAAACTTACTGATTTGCTGAATAGATAATCTGTTGCCTTGTGCAATTCATCTGCCATCCATGTCACATGTGAAAGCCTTCTCATGGACTCCCTAACTCCTTCTGAGAAATTGATCAACTTATGGATTCCTGTATGATGACTTCATTTTAGCAAGAGGTCAATATGCACATTTTTAACTATTGACACTAGCTTTATTTGCAGTCTATCTATTTTCTCTCTGCATAACTATTCTTGCAGCTTGAAGTTAGGGCACTACCTTTTCCAGAGGAGTAATTGTAGATGCATAAACATGCCAGAAGTCTTTCTTCAAGCTCCAACCCCGGGTGCAAGTGTTGTGCAACTTCATCCAGTAAGATTTCACGTGCTGAGTTCTTGTTGCTATCTGGACCTTTTGCAATCTCTATACTGAGCCATGCGTTGGAAATAAGACACGCCTTTGAGACTCTCTTGTTTTTACTCTTCAACCCCTCTTGTATAGCATGAAAGGCGGGTTTGCCTGTGTCAATGATGCTTCTTGCCATCTTACTACACCATCCATCTACTCCCATATCCTGTGAAATTGTGAGGCTCCCATAAGGTTATTATGCAGGTTCCCATACGCAGTAATACAAATAATTTATGTTGGAAGTTTTTATTTGAAAAAGCACACCTGTAAGCATTCATCTGTCCAGTCGACGTTTCTTATCATATTCCTGTGAGATAAAGAAGTTAGACCGCCCTTTTTAACCAGCCATGCAGCGGTGTATGATTCCCCTGTCCATGAATAGGTCCCGCCAATATTTGCAAGAATGAATGTTGATAATAGCTGCATGTTTGAATCTTCACTGAGTGTCATTGCATCTAGCAGGGCTCGCATAGCCTCATTTCTGAACATTTTGTTCTCTGGCGAGAAGTCCTGTGGTAAGTTTTTAAATTAACTTATTTCTTTAGGACTGGAACCTTTGATCTAAAAGTCAGCCCGACAATGGGTTTCAATGTTAGGACTTACTAGTGCATTCAGTTGAAGCAATATATCCGCTGCAAAAAGTTGGTGGTCACCCTGCAATTGCTGAATAGCCCGCAGTAATGTCTCCTTGATGTTAGAACTTCCTTCTTTCTTTAACTGCTGCAGGATCTTGATAGCTGCAGACCTGAAACCAAAGGTAAACATTTCTTTTTGTTTTCTTATCTGGCATCGGGATTACGGTACAAGTTGGTCATGTATTGTAAAGCATGAATGGCAGAACTTAGTGTTATCAAAAGAGAATGTTGCTGAGACATACCTAGGTATACGGAGGACCTCATGAAGAAACCGGAGGGCAGTGAACATGGCTTCTCTGTCTTTGCTATGTAGGAGATGGACAAATGGAGCCACTCGAGTATGTTGCGAGATATACTTCCTGTTAAGTCCATCAAACTGCATGCATTTGATTAAAATACTTGCCAAGGAGATGAATTGGCCCGGATTTCCATCTTTTGCTACATCAAGAAGTCCACAAAGGACGTTGGGGGAGCTGATTGCAGCCAAATGCATTGTGTTCGTAGCAGGATCAAAAGCGGTTATTAGCACTTCAATCATCATCAAGGATGCTGCCGGAGGTGTCAACAGAGGCGATGAAGGTCTAGGCTTGTAAGTAGAAGAATTGCACGCTATGTCCACCAGGGCCGGTAAAAGCTCTAGACTTTTTATTTCTGTTGGAGATGGCTTTATCAGGTATATCAAGGTTGCTGCCTCTTGTACATTTTGTTTCAGGGCACTTGCCAAATGGGTTAACTGTAGACCCCTCTTTTTCACGTCCTCGAGAGCTGCTCTATTTACCGATACAATTTTTGTAAGTATAGTCACTGATGCCTTTATTACGTTTTTCTCCTTCGAAGACGTTATGGCCATAAGCAGCTGATCCAGAATCACATCTTTTAGCATGCTATATTTGATTCCTCTTTTCTTGTTCAGCATTTGATAAATCATTGTGACCTCTGAAACATATTTCTCATCAGCATTTCCCAGTACTCCTGAGATCATGCCCTGAAGATTCTCCCATAAATCCATCCGGACTCTTTCAGAATGCGCTCTAACCGTCTTGCTTCTTTTCTGGTTATGCAAATTCCTCCTCATTCCTTCAAAAGTTAAGTCGTCTTCCCCTGGGGCAAAGAAATGGCTCTGCATACTTCTGGACGTTTTGTGTCCGAAGACTAGGAGCTCTTCCAGTTCCAACTGCTGTAGGGAAGAAGCATCTTCCATCTGGGCATTCCAAGTCGTGGTTGATACTTGAGCCTGAATGTCCAGAATGGACAGGTCAAAATTGCCCACAAAACTGTGGGATCTGGCGTATAATGAGTTGGTGGTATATGCTTTATTGGCTTCGTTGTGCATTCGTTGCTGAGGAGTTCGTGCTGAAATGAGTCTTGCTCCCTCTCGGCTTGACTGAGAGAAAGGAGCTAAGTGCTTTCTGTATCAGAATGCAAAGAGAAGTGTCGGTAACAGTTTTTAACTTAATATGGAATACTAATGTAGATCATCTCCATAATATTGTATAGAACAGGGAGATACATATCGAACTGATCAAAACTTTCTGACCCCAGGACGTCCAATTGAGTTGACTCGGCAGTACCCTCCATAGTTTCCTGATTCATAACGAAATCGGTGAGAAGGTGCAATCAAATCTCCTTGCAGTTTTTCTAATCTTCTGGACTGTTCTGTAAGAGAATTACTGTGAATGTTGTTGTTGATGTATCTGACTGAGATTCCTTCAGGATGTCATGGAGACACCTGACTCTTGTACTCTTTCCTGGCTCTGGATTTTCATCTGTCTTCAGGCTCTGATCCAAACATGGAGAAGATGCAGTGTCGTTTAGAGTTCTTTCAAGCTTACTTGATGCCTTGATTTCGTTCAAGTCGTGATTAAGGTCATCATGTGGGAAAACAACGTGGTGAACCTTCTTCTGGTACTGCAAAAAGTTATTCAACATTCATGGGGGAAACCATTTGAATAGGAGAATAAAATCTGAAACAGGTACGTTCTTATTTTTTTTCAATTTTCCTGAGTGGACATGAAATTCAAATTTAGGGTGAATGCTGTCATCTACCTTGCAGGTTTCTGATACATATTGCTTCTCTTCTGTTGAAGGTTCGGTCACTACAGAGGCCTCTTCCCTGTTCATGCACAACCGAGGTTAACCCAAGAAATGCTTTAACAAAGCTGATAACCAAGAACTTTCGTTATGTTTTGCAGCATGAGACAAACTATAATATGATATGATGATTTACTGTACTTAAAATCATTGTTTCCCCTTAATCTAGGAAGCAAGGATGAAGACAAACAGGATCAGTTGCATTTGTGACGGATTTGAATTCATACCCAAATTTTCCTGACAGATGACTTAGAAGCCTTGTGTCCCTGCGTTCCTCGTGGGGACGATGAATCTCTCCGTATAACATAACCTGGTAATACGTTGCTCTGTACTTATAGTTCCTCGCCATCTCTCTTATGTATTCATCTGTCTTGTCCTTACCCATATCTTGTAACTCGGACATCTCGCAGTTGAAAAGGCTTTCGCAGAGTTCAGGGGCAATGTCTGTCCGGACGAGTTCAGGTGAGACCAAGACCGACTGAAGAAAATGCAACACTGTCTGCAAGGCATCACCTTGAAGATTACTGACAATGGAGAGGTAAAAGTAGGAGAAAGACACCAAGATTCTGTTTGGAACGCAGTTCGTGGTCTCTTGTTCATCGAGCAAAGCAGGCATCTGAAGCATTCTCTCCGAGTTTCTCAGCCGAGACATCATCTCTTCCGACCATTCAGGTTGTAATGCGGCTTCTATGCTCTCTACTCCCCAGTAAAGGTTCGATAGAGCAGAGTGCTGAGAGAACTCAAACAGCTTCTCTTTCTGAATACCTAACCTTTTGCTGCATTTCCCTTTAATCCAAACCCAGGATTCGAAGTCCCCCACAAGGCGTAAAACGTAATCATTGATCTGAAAGACGAGTGCCCGAGTGGAATCAAGAGCTGAATTCTCACGGTCAGTGAGAATACCGGGAGAAGAACAAGAAGGGGAAGGAGAAAGGTGAGGCATTTTCGCATAATCTGTGATCAAATTCAGACGGGGACGAAGATTTATCAGTGTTCAAGGTAAGAAATGGGATAAGATGAGGAGGGTCGGGTCAGTGACACAGAGATTGTGATGAAGAGGAAGCAGGAGAAGGAGAAGTGTAAGAACAATGTCTCGTGAACAAATCCCCGCCAAAATCCAAGAACTGAATGGTCCCATTTCTACTCACGCTTCTTGCCGTCCAAAGACAAAGATCACACCCTTGCGTGTGCCTGAGGAAATCCCCCATGTATGTATGTCAATTTTCGTAAATCTTTATTATATTTTATGGAATGTTAAATCTGTATTCATCGCATAGAATACGTTAGAAAACAAATCAATCAAGTATATTCTGTAAGTTTCTTTTTACAGAGTAGTAAAAATATCAGGTTTTTTTAATAAGAGGGAATCTTCTGAGGCAGGCGTTGAAATGGCAGTAAATAATGTTTGGGGCAGTTTTCTAATTAGACGAAAATGATGGGGCCCAGAAAAAGAGGGAATTTGACTAATGTCTGTCACGGGCACGAAAATTATTGAGGGATATGAGTTCCGACAAAAAAAAAAAGAACCACGATCACATGCAATTCGTTTCTTCCCATCTTATACGCAGTCGTTATGAAAAAAAAAATACAAATAACATTATTCCCAAAATTATGTTTTTGTCCTGTCTTGTGTGTACTCTCAATTTCTCATTATTTGGAGAAAAAAAGAAGAAAAATATTTATAAATGTGAAAACTTGTACAATAATCTCTCTTTTTAAAAGTTTGGGAGAAGGAATCTTATTTAAGCGAATCACCATTTTGTGGAGAAATAAAATATAAATCATTCCAACCAAATGATTTCTAAAACCAAATCAAGAAGTGATTTCTAAAAACTAAAAAAAAATATTTGGATAAAATCATTTTGTTTCAATTATGTACACGATATCTTTAAAAAAAAATCGTAAATGAGATTGAAAAATGTAAATAGTAAATGTTATTTCCCGATATTATGTATTGCATTTAAGAAAAATGAGAGGTACTGAAAAGAATTGACACGTGTCCCCCAAAAAAAGAAAAAGAATTGAAATGTTCGTGGAATGGATCTTACCCCATCTTGTAAGGCCCATTCGGAAGGTTAGTGATAATGGGCTTTCAACTTGAGCTTCTTATTGGGCCTGATTCTGGGCCTGTTGACGTGTAGGTAATAAGTTTCAAGGAAAACGTCATGCAACTCTCTGTTAAAAGTTTGAAACGACGTGCTGTTTAGTTTGTCTGCTCGCTCTCAGTGACAGCGGGCCCGTGTTTGATTTTTAAATCCAAAGGGTAAAATTAAAAAAAAAAAACTACACTTTTGACAAAAATGTAAAAGGCGTCATCTTTTTCTACGATTTTTTTCGTAAATCGAAATCTTGATTTAATCGGTTAACATAATTCTTGTAAAATGGCATTTTCCTATAAAATAAATGTATAATTAATATATTAAAAAAAATCAGCACTCCCTCGTTAAAAACCGCCACGAACACTCAAAATCTCCATTTCACTTTAAAAAAGAAGTGGAAAGAAGAAGACGAAAAACAAACTCTCTCCGCGGGATTCAAATTTCAAACAATGTTCCAAGAGCGTCACGGCGGCGGAGCTCCGCCGCATGGGATCATACTCGCGGTGGTCGTAGGGATCGTGGTGCTGGTCCCGTTCTTCCTCGGCGACGGCGGCGAGGTCGTCACGGAGGCGTTCGCGGAGCTCCTGAGCCCCGTCGGTCTCCTCCTCCTCCCGATCGTCCTTCTCCTCACGATCCAGTTCCTCTCCTCCGATCGTGGATCATTCGTGTCCTCCATCTTCTCCACCGGAGAGCCCGATTCCATCCACCGAGCCAGCGGATCTCCTGTCGGCGTCGCTCTGTTCCTCGTCCTGATCCTCTTCCTCCTCTACAACCGCGTCTCCATATTCGGCGGTGACGATTCTGGCGACTGATGCGACGCCATTTCAGATCTAGATCCGCTTTTTAAAATATATTTTTTCCCTTCCGGTTCACACTTGAGGAGCAGAATTTGTAGTGAACTATTGAGAGCAAGAGTGGTGAAATTATCCAAAGTGCCTTATCTGATCCCATATCCGTTCTCAATTCGAAAAATTAGAAAATTCAGATATTTTTGGATAGATTTGGGTAATAGAAATATCTCATATATGGATTCCACTGATAGAATTTTCATAATTCGATTATCTGTTTTTTTTTTTACTAGAAATTCATATTTTTATATTCGAATTCTGATATAAAAAGAATCTCGATTGGAGTTACATATCTTTAAATTTTATTTTTTTATAAAAAAAATTGTCATTCCATTCGACTTCAAAATTCCATCTGTATTAACGTTGTATTGTATGTGCGATGGAGGACATGCAGAGTGGCCGGAGTGGGAGGCATTTATGTAAATTTACATAAATGCCCATGTTCAGGCGATGTAATTCCATATATATCCTTATGATGGATGTGGCAGAATTATGGTGTCCATGTCTGTCTTCAGGGCATGATGCATCAGAATTTGCAGCCCAGTTCAATAATATCTGTAAGTAAATTAAGAATATAAAATCCGTACATATATATATATATATTAATATTGGTTGGAACAACATTCTGCCACATAATATCTCGTGAAATTTCCATAAATCTCACGATTTTAATCGTGATTTATTTTTTATCGTATTATTTTATATCCATGTTTTGAGTTTTTATAGAGTTAGAGAGTTATTAATATATTGTATCAATATATATATATATATATATATAATATACACAGCTCATGTTTGATTTATGAAACTATGTATCAGTAATACACATGCAGATATCGATGTAACGAACGACAGTATACAGCTTCTGAAATCTGGAGTGGAGAAACTAATTATGATAATGTGACATTTAACAATCCATCTAATACATTTTTTTAAAATACATTACATTTGTATTATTGTTTTTCAATTTTTGGAGATGTTTTATGTTATACAACTTTTCAATGATTCTTTTTTAATTTTATTTTTTTATATAACCATATAAAGATAACAAACTAAATCACAAATATAAAAAAAATCGGATTATTATGAACACAATAATACAATCTGTTGCCTCCTCCTAAATCAATTTAAAAACAGAATTTAAATATTTAAATATAAATATATTTAATCAATGCGCAGAAAGAACTGTACGATTACAAATTGATTAAATACATTACGATTATAAATTGATTATTTGAACGCATTAGGGTTTCGGACAAACCCCACGTGATCACGTGAACATGTGAGACCTTTTTTTTTTTAACCGGGGATTCGGATTTCTGTCAGCTAATAATGCGAATTTTAATGCTATATTTCTCTGGGGTTCTTCGCATTAAAAAAAACTAAACTCCCAAACTATATAAAAAAACATAATATTCGTAATTATTTACTTAAATACTAAAATTACTCTTAGAAAATAAATGCGTCCAAAAAATAAAAGTCAAACCTGTTTGCTCCAAATTGGCCCTTTCTTTAACCCTCTGGATGATCTGGAAGTCTCCGTTTACCTGCGTCGCTGTTCTACTAAAACCCTCATTTTCCTGGGGTGTCACGTTAAACCCTACACCTCTCCTGGAAGCTGAGCTTCCGATATCAGAAAGTTTTTTTTTCATCTTTTGTTGTTCCTCTGGTTAAAGTTTTTATTTTTCCCTTTAGGGTTTGTCTTCTCGAGGTATGTATTGATGTTCGATCGTCTTGATGCGAAATTAATCCGTTGTGTGGACAAGAAGGCCGGATAGATGAGGATGCTCTCAAGACCAGGTAAGAATCATGGTGATAAAGATACTAATTCTTACATGTTTTTGGGCGTCTCAAATTCAAGTGAAACTCCGTTTTTGATGGAATTGGGTCTAAAATCTGTGGAATTTGAGGTGATATTTGGTGATCCTGTTAAAATATTGGGACTAGGGATTTAGGGTTCTCTTTGAGAGCATTCGATTGCCTTTCATTGGCAGATTCCTGTTTGCGTTATGTTGTTCTCCCCTTGCTTTTGCAGGAACATTACTCCGTATTGATACGAAATGCTCCTGTTTTTTCACTGTATCTAAGAATCTTTCATCCTCGTCCGATGGTTCCTCTTCGGAGTTTCCCGGCAGATCAGTTCATTCAGATTATGGTAATAATCATGAGAACAGGACAAGGGTTGAGAGTTATAGGGAACTGGTAGATGAAGTCTGCCGTGTTTTGCAGAGCGGTCCATGGGGACCTTCAACTGAGAATGCTTTATCGGCACTTAATATAAATCCCCAGCCAGTATTAGTTACTGGGGTTTTAAGGAAGCTAAACGATGTTGATCGTGCAATTCATTATTTCCGATGGTATGAGACAAAAACCGACGTGGCACATTGTCCAGAAGCATATAACTCGTTGCTTTCAGTGATGGCTCGCAGTAGAAATTTCGATGCTTTGGAGCGAATTCTCGAGGAAATGAGTGTTGCAGGATTTGACCCTTCCGTGAACTCTTGTATCGAGATGGTTTTAGGCTGTGTTAAGGCGAATAAGCTCAGAGATGCTTTCAATATCATACAGACAATGAGGAAGTTCAAAATCCGCCCTGCTTATTCGGCTTACACAACTCTAATCGGTGCATTGTCAGCTGTTAATCAATCTGATATGATGCTGACTCTTTTTCACCAAATGCAGGAACTGGGTTATGAAGTAACTGTTCATCTGTTTACGACGTTGATTCGTGCCTTTGCCAGAGAGGGGCGAGTAGATTCTGCCCTATCGTTGCTTGATGAGATGAAGAGCAATGCTCTTGATGTTGACATTGTTCTCTACAACGTATGTATAGACTGCTTCGGTAAGGCAGGTAAGGTTGATATGGCATGGAAATTTTTTCACGAGATTGAAGCAAATGGCTTGAAACCTGATGAAGTCACATATACCAGCATGATAGGAGTTTTGTGCAAGGCGGAAAGGTTGGATGAAGCTGTAGAAATGTTTGAACGTTTGGAAAGGAATAGACAGGTCCCTTGCGCTTATGCATACAATACTATGGTAATGGGTTATGGTTCAGCTGGAAAATTTGAGGAAGCATACAGTCTACTAGAGAGACAGAGGGCAAAGGGATCTATACCAAGTGTAATTGCATATAACTCTATTCTTACATGCCTCAGGAAAAAGGGAAGAGTGGACGAAGCTTTGAGAATCTTTGAGCAGATGAAGAAAGATGCTGCTCCAAATCTTTCTACTTATAATATTCTTATTGACATGCTGTGCACAGCAGGTAAACTTGATCATGCTTTTGAGCTGCGTGATTCAATGCAAAAGGCTGGCCTGTTTCCTAATGTTAGAACTGTAAACATAATGGTTGATCGGCTCTGTAAAGCCCGGAAACTTGATGAAGCTCGTTCTATATTTGAAGAGATGGATTATAAGGTCTGTACCCCAGACGATTACACATTTTGCTCGCTCATTGATGGCTTGGGGAGGAGCGGAAGAGTAGATGAAGCTTTTAAAGTCTACGAGAAGATGTTGGATTCTAATTGTCACCCTAACTCCATTATTTACACAAGTCTCATAAAGAACTTCTTCACCAATAGTAGAAAAGAAGATGGCCACAAGATATACAAAGAAATGCTTAATCAAGGTTGTTCTCCTGATCTACGCTTACTTAACACTTACATGGATTGTGTGTTTAAGGCTGGTGAACCTGAAAAAGGTAGGGCTTTGTTTGAGAAGATAAAAGCCCATGGGTTCATTCCGGATGCTCGAAGCTATTCAATCCTAATCGACGGGCTAGTGAAAGCTGGGTTTTCGAATGAAACCTACGAATGGTTTTATTCCATGAAGGAGCGAGGCTGTGTTTTGGACACCCGTGCTTATAATGTTGTTATCAATGGTTTCTGTAAGTCTGGAAAAGTGAACAAAGCTTATCAGCTGTTGGAGGAGATGAAAACAAAAGGTCATGAGCCTACTGTTGTTACCTACGGTTCTGTAATTGACGGTCTCGCTAAAATTGACCGGCTTGATGAAGCTTATATGCTCTTTGAGGAAGCCAAATCGATGGGCATAGAGTTAAATGTGGTAGTATACAGCAGTCTTATCAATGGCTTTGGGAAAGTAGGTAGAATCGATGAAGCTTACCTTATCATGGAAGAGCTAATGCAGAAAGGACTAACACCTAATGTTTTCACATGGAATGCCTTGCTTGATGGATTGGTCAAGGCGGAGGAAATCGATGAAGCCCTCGTCTGTTTTCAGTCCATGAAAGACATGCAGTGCACTCCAAACGAAGTTACTTATGGTATTCTAATAAATGGTCTTTGCAAGGTCAGTAAGTATAATAAAGCCCTTGTCTTTTGGCAGGAGATGCAGAAGCGTGGGCTAAAACCCGGTACCATTAGCTACACTACCATGATATCTGGACTCGCAAAGGGCGGGAATACTGCAGAGGCTAGTACGCTGTTTAATCGGTTTAGGGCAAATGGAGGCATACCAGACTCTGCTTGTTATAACGCCATGATAGAAGGCCTGAGTAATGGAAATCAGGCGATGGAAGCTTTTACCCTTTTTGAGGAAACACGTCGGAAAGGACTTCAGATTCATAACAAAACATGTGTGGTTCTTTTGGATGCCCTCGAGAAGGATGAATGTCGCGAACAGGCAGCTATTGTTGGAGCTGTTTTGAGGGAAAATGCAAAGTCGCAACATGCTGCAAGATCTTGGTAGAGATGGGTCATCATCCATCCATTTTTCTTGTATAGGAAAATGAAAATCTATCTGGATGACATCTGATCCAGCAAAAGTGATCCTTTTGCAAAGTTCTACCTCAAGGATCTCGAGTTTTGCTAGACAGGACACTGTTTTTGACAATAGTTAGGTGGTCTCATCTCTTCAAACATACAAGCTACTACACAGGCAGAGGTAGTTTAACTCGCCTTAGACCTGTTCAAGCCTCTGGAACACAACTCAACGATCACCCGGATAATCGAAGTGCTGTTTCCATGTAACTTTATTCTCAAGAACGGCCGAAATCTTCACGGTAACTCTCCCTTGCAAATTAAGATTGTTATCGTGCTGCATTGTGCATAACTGCTACTGGTAAAATTGAAAAAAAAAAAAAAAGGGTTCTCTATTCATCTTCTTGAATAACACGTCCCATGAATTTTAAGCAACATAAATGGATTGCTTTGATTTCGTTTTCCACATTTTTTTTTCTGCAGAATTTAGTTATACGCGGTTGCTCAGCTCCAGCATCAGCCTCCTTCTCCAGGACTCCAACAAAATAAGCCGTCTAAGAGGAAATGCATAAGGCACCAATACTGAGAGTTGTTGTGATCGTTTTTGATAATAAATCCTCTTGCTCTGTTTCGGTTCATTGCTACAAAAACATAGAATCAGAGAAAAGAGTTGCCTCTTGATCTTGTTGTTTGGATTTGGAAAGGATAAGGAAATGATTCATTTGGGTCATTTATCCTCTGGCCGCAGCCTCTTGCTTCATACATTTCCTTGTGTGTTGAATGAGTTGTACAATTGACTTGAAATAAAAGCTCCACATGCACTAGAGTTTTAATTCTTCGAAATCTTGGTCATGAGATTTCCTCAATTTCATTTCCATGTAAGAAATATATATATATATATATATATATATATATATATATATATAGATTCTGTAGAAAAGGGCTTGGGAAGCACTAAACAAAATAGAGGGGGTAAATATAGAAAAGACACGAAATTTAGGGGTCGGCGAACAAAAACAACCCAATGGTGAGGAGGGAGCGCAGAGGTTTTTGTTTCAACAGTCCAATTATCCACACAAGCGCACGTAGAGTTTGTCGACGTCGTCATTTTTCTTCTTCGCTCTTTGCGCGGGGATGAGAAACGTCATGCAGTGACAAGGAGCTGATATAGAGAGAAGGCACGCAGAGAGAGCGAAAAAGATGTCTTCTTTCTTCAAATCATTTGCTGGAAATCCCAGGGAAGCAGCTGCAATGGCGATGGTGCAGTCTTCTTCTTACAGAGTAAGTCCAATTGCGAAGACTCGCCTCTGAATTCATCTTTTGTCGGGTTTTATGTGTGTTGTTTGGTTACTACTGGCAATTCACACCCTTTGTTTAAACTTCGAATTCTAGACCATTGTTGTCGTCGAATTCGTCCATGATCATTACAATGGCATCTGTTTGGTCAGTGGGTTTGTTAAAAAAATTCTTGTTTTTTGTTACGCTTTGGGAGCTAAGCAGGTGGGTTTCAGGTTCTGTGTAATATTCTTACGGTTTTTAACAATGCCCACCAATTGTTTGATAAAATTTCAGTTGGTGGTTGTGTTTTTTGGCCTTTGATTATGTATTTGAACAGTTTTTCTCGTTGCTACACAAATTTCTTTCTTGTTGGCACTAAACAACTGCGATTATGTTGAGTCGGAAATGTTCAAAGTAAAGCTATTTCGCTTGAATTACTGTAGTTTTGCAACCTTAACCGCGGATACGTACTGTGTAAAGCTTGAAGACAATGAAATTTCTAGTGATTTAAAAAAAATCTCTTTCATTACAATCCAATTCTTTGAAGAAAAAACAAGTTGCAGTCTATGTAATTTGGTCGTATTTAATTGTTGGAGGAGATGTCTTGTATCTTGTTAGAAATTTGTATAGAAAGGTTTATGATTTTCTTACTTTTTTGTTTTGATTTGTGTCTGGTCAGATTTTGTCGTATAAAACCTGCTCAAATTTAAGGAGAACCACCCCGTCGAATGGCTTTCTTTCCAAGGGAAGGTCCTCCACCAAGGTCTTTTCCTTTCTTTATGTCTCACAATATTCAACTCAACCAAACAATGAGTTTGGTCATTCATCAAAACGAAGGTCTCGGGGACCTGTTATGGCAGCGAAGAAGGCAGCTGAAGGTGTGAATTGTACAGCCTCCATTTTTAAAAATCTTCCCAAATGATGGCTCCATTTGGTACTGTGTTTACACCATTGGGATTTTGTAGGAGAAAAGCAAGAGGACGGAAAGTACAAACACACGGTTGATTTGCCAAAGACCGGGTTTGGTATGAGAGCAAATTCGTTGGTGAGGGAACCTGAAATCCAGAAGTTGTGGGATGATAACCAGGTTTTCAAGAGAGTTTCTGACAAAAATAATGGAGTAAGTTCCTCGAGAATCTATTTTCCTGTCAACTCTGCCTAAAAGAAGTGGTGTGTGAGTGTGAGTTGCTTTGTCAGGGAAGTTTCATTCTTCATGATGGACCTCCCTATGCCAATGGTGACTTGCACATGGGCCATGCTCTAAATAAGATACTTAAGGATATAATTAACCGCTATAAGGTATGCTTTACCTTGGATATCTATTTACCTCTTGTTTTGGCTTCTTGGGCTTCTGGTTTTGTTTATCTCATTTATTTATTCTTTTTGGGGTTACCTTCCTCTATAAATGGTGTTTGCTCTCACACATTGTTGGCGTCTTCATGCAGCTGCTCCAAAACTATAGAGTTCAGTATGTTCCTGGTTGGGATTGTCATGGTCTGCCGATTGAGTTGAAAGGCAAGTGCGGGATAAGTTATGGACCTCTGAATAATCAGTTAGAAGCAAGATGCTTTCACTGTCTTCAAAGTCGTTACCTATCTTGAGTAATTAGGTTGTCCTCTGGATTCATTTCAGTTCTGCAGTCGCTGGACCAGGAATCAAGGAAGGAACTGACACCAGTAAAATTAAGGGCAAAAGCTGCCAAGTTTGCCAAATCAACCGTCAAAACACAAATGGCATCATTTAAGGTGATATCAACTTTTGTTTTCCTTGTCTACAATCATTTGGAATTTACCAGTCACTTGAATCTACCAGGGCATGTTTTATTTTAATTAAAAACGTTTTAGTTAAGTCTTTTGTGAAGTCACTTAGAGCACATGACTGGTGTTTGCAGAGATATGGAGTATGGGCTGATTGGAATAATCCTTATTTAACTCTTGACCCAGAATATGAAGCTGCCCAGGTAACAGCATCACCTTCCGAAATTTTGTTGCGGATTTTCATATTTTTACAACATATCTAAACATGCAGTATCTGAATCTAACTTCTGAAGATGTTTATTGTCAAAAGTCTGTAAGATTTCAGACCCTGATTGATGACATTTCTTTTATCCTATCTCATATATTGGTAGATTGAAGTGTTTGGCCAGATGGCCTTGCAAGGGTACATCTATAGAGGAAGGAAACCAGTTCACTGGAGTCCTTCTTCTCGCACTGCTCTTGCTGAAGCTGAACTAGAGGTAAAATTAAATATTAGTTTAAACCCTATAGACAAATATTCTGAAGTTCAGTTCAATGTGAAGCAAATTTAAAATCAGCTCAAAGCATGTGAATTTCAGGCGTATTTTTCTGATTTTATGTTTCAACATGAGATACTTTCTGGCGAGATCAAGAATGTATGGCGGCATTCATTGTATTCCATTGGACCTAGGTTGCTGCTTCACATATGATCAATGGATATTGAATAATATAATTTTCCTCTTCATTGACTGTCTGCACTTTCTTAGATACACTTAGTTGTTGTAGCATAATATTTTCCTGGTACCTGCATTCCTCTAGTTATCTTATATGAGCTCAAATGTAACCAGCTCAAAATAATAGGTTTTAAAGGTGAATGCGTTATTTTCTTAAATATAAATTATGTGCAGTACCCAGAGGGTCATGTTTCGAGAAGCATATATGTTCTTTTCAAATTGGTGAGTGGGGCAAAAACTGGCTTGTTAGAAGAATTTTTCCCTAATTTAAGTGTGGCAATATGGACAACTACACCTTGGACTGTTCCAGCCAATGCTGGTAAGTTTTATGTCACATATATTGCTGTTAGTTGCCAAGATGTACCATCCATTACTCCTCCCCCCTTCTTTCTCAATATTCTCTCCCCTTCTCTTTCTTCACTTGCACGTACATTTGGATCTTTTGGTTCTACTTTACTTGACTGGTGTATTAGCTATTTTAACATGTTATTTCTTTCTTTTCTTTGGTATCACTTTCAGCTGTTGCGGTGAATGCTAAGCTTCAGTACTCGGTTGTTGAGGTGCAGTCATACACAGAAGATGACTCCGCCTTGAAGGGCAGTAAAAAGAAAAGGCTTGGGAATGTTCTGAAAAATCAACAAACGTTATTCCTGATTGTAGCGACCGACCTTGTGCCCGCACTAGAAGCAAAATGGGGCGTGAAGCTTATCATAAATAAAACTTTCCTGGGTTCAGATCTTGAAAACTGCAGGTTATGTTTGGAAAGTTATAAAAAGAATAAAAATAAAAAGAAAAGAACCTTGGTTTGACATGTGCTTCTCTAGTTCTGAATCCTTGGTGTGTTATCATGATTGTAGGTATGCACATCCGATAGACAATAAAGAATGTCCAGTTGTTATAGGAGGAGATTACATTACGACAGAGTCAGGAACGGGTTTGGTCCACACTGCCCCTGGCCATGGGCAGGAGGATTATGCAACTGGCCTTAAGTATGGGCTATCTGTATTTTCTCCCGTAGATGATGAAGGAAAGTTCACTGAAGAAGCTGGACAGTTTAGTGGGCTCTCTGTCCTTGCGGAAGGGAATAGTGCTGTCGTCGATTACCTGGATGAGAAATTGTCTCTGGTCATGGAGGAATCATACGGTAAGTTTTGCTTCAGATGCTTTGTACCCAACCATTTGTGCATAAGTTTGCCACCAGTTTTAACTCAGATGGAAATGATTTTGACATGTCAACTTTTTTTTCATGCAGCTCATAAGTACCCATATGACTGGCGAACTAAGAAGCCTACAATTTTTAGAGCGACCGAGCAGTGGTTTGCATCGGTTGAAGGGTTCCGCGGGGCTACTATGGATGCAATTAGTAATGTGAAATGGATACCACCTCAGGTACTTGGTGAAACTGTCTTTTGATTTTATTCAAATATACGGGTTACAAGTATCACATGGAGATTTAACAATGCTAGGAGATTTTCATCATATGAACCATGTGATTTGATCAATCTAGCTGATGTTCTCCTTATTGTTGGATTGTTTTCTTACTGCTAGTTATCACCACCACTCATCTTCATGCCTGGTTTGGTCTTCAAAAAGATACTGTTAAGTTGTTTGGAGTTTAATATAGCAATTGATATGGTTTGTTATTCAGGCCGAAAACAGGATTTCTGCCATGACGTCCAGTCGCTCTGATTGGTGCATCTCGAGGCAAAGGACATGGGGTGTCCCTATTCCTGTCTTTTATCATGTCAAGACAAAAGAACCCCTCATGAATGAAGAGACAATTGACCATGTTAAGTGTAAGGGCCTATGAGAGAGTGCAATCACTTTATTGGTTTTTTTTCTATTAACTCAGTGTTTTTCTGTTATAGAAATGCCTGCTCTTATTGCTCTATGTAGTAGTTATCTGAGTCGCCCCTCATAAAATATTTCCTTCTATGACAGCTATAATTTCTCAAAAGGGTAGTGATGCATGGTGGTACATGTCAGTTGAAGACCTACTTCCTGAGAAATATCGTGATAAAGCAGCTGATTATGAAAAAGGGACTGATACAATGGATGTCTGGTTTGACTCAGGTACCACAATGCAATGAAGTTGGCTGTTTACAAAATTTCACAGTCTGGTATAGCGTCAAACAACTATTATGTAATGATCTTCTTATTACGTCAGGTTCCTCTTGGGCTGGTGTGTTGGGAAAACGAGACGGCCTTAGTTTCCCTGCAGATGTGTATCTAGAAGGCACAGATCAGCATCGTGGATGGTTCCAAAGTTCCTTGTTAACAAGCATCGCAACAAAAGGTGATAAGCTGACACAAGATTTAGGGTTTAGGGTTGCTGTCTTATGAAATGAGATTATTCTACATACTTAGCTTACATGCTGGAAATTGGTGTCTTATTTTTGCATTCACACCTTGTAATACAGGAAAGGCCCCTTATTCTGCTGTTATAACTCATGGATTTGTACTGGATGAGAAGGGTATGAAGATGAGCAAGTCCTTGGGTAACGTGGTTGACCCACGCATGGTCATTGAAGGAGGGAAAAATTCAAAGGTTCTCTGCTGATACAATAACCAAGCCTGTCTTGTTTTATCTCCCAAGTCTTCGTTATCCATTCTTGTTGCTTGGCCGTTCCTTTTGTTGCCAGGATGCGCCTGCATATGGAGCCGATGTCCTGCGTCTCTGGGTTTCTAGTGTTGATTATGCTGGAGATGTACTGATAGGTCCTCAAATTCTTCGGCAAATGTCAGATATATATAGAAAATTAAGAGGAACCTTAAGATATCTCCTTGGAAATCTGCATGACTGGAAAGTATGTCTCTAATTCTAAGCTTGATATACAATTTTTTTTCCTGTGGGATATTATCACCAGCTTCACGTATAACCTTTTTTCCTGCATCTGTGTTACAAATAGTGTTTCTCTCGTCTAGCTCCACTTCCTCAAGTTCTCACTTCTGTCTTGTACCTCACTATAATTTATGGTGTTGCTATTTTGAAATCGTTACTTATGTATCTATCTACCATCTACAGGCGGATAATGCTGTTCCATACCACAGCTTGCCAATAATTGACCAGCACGCTCTCTTCCAGCTCGAGAATGTTGTAAAGAACATAAAAGAGTGCTACGATAACTACCAGTTTTTCAGAATATTCCAGGTACTATTTTTTTGTTGTTGTTAGAAACACAGTAATCATTAATCACTTAACCTTGGAGTAATGCAATATAGTCCCTCTGAGAGATGTTAATCTAATTGTTGTGTTAAACTCATCTGCTATGTGCAAATTGGCAAAAGAAAACAAAACAGGAGGAGCAATTACTCAACCATTTACTTCTTTTTCCTTGTTTTTCTTTGGCCTGTAAGAAGAGAAAATAATTAGATCAAAAGTACAAGACATTTTAGACAGTGGGTAGCAGTTTGGATATATTTAATGAACCATAACCTAGATTTTAGCAAATGAATTTCTATCCATTGAGGAGAGAGATCCTAAGAATCCAGTTAAGTACTTGCAGATTGATGACCCTTGAATTTTGTTCTTAATGTTCGTGATTTTCCCTACAGTTATGATCTTTTATTGTTTCAGATCATTCAACGGTTCATAATAGTTGATCTATCAAATTTCTACTTTGATGTAGCCAAAGATAGATTGTATACTGGGTAAGTTTCCATTTCGATTGTGTACCTAGACCTTTGCCTCCCAGTCTTTGATATTGATACATTTATGTTATTGATTTAACTAAAATAAATTATCTTTTCTCAGGGGTACTTCGAGTTTTACCAGAAGAAGCTGTCAGACAGTACTTTCTGCACATCTTCTATCCATCTTGAGAGTCATCGCTCCTATACTGCCTCATCTAGCTGAAGATGTTTGGCAGAATCTCCCATTTGAGTATAGAAATGAAGATGGATCTGCAGCAAAATTTGTTTTTGAACTAAAATGGCCATCGTTGAATGAACAGTTGCTCTCGTTTCCTGTTGAAGAGAGTCATTTCTGGGAAAAAATTCTCGAGGTAATCACGAATCTCCTATAATCACTCGCATAAACCCTGTGAAAATTTCACCATCTCTAGAAGTTTTCTCCTATCTTTGGTTTCGATACTAGAAATCCTTAGTTATATTGGTTCAGAATGATGCACTGTTTTACTACCTCATGGGGGATATAAGGAAAACAAACATACCTTCATGCAAAACTATTCAAACACTGGGTATTTGTTTCACGTATTTTCATATGATGACCTTTTAAGAAATAGTGATTGAATCGCTAGAACTTTTGGAATTAGCAACAACTCGAAAATATTCCCATGTACTGACAGAACCTCTGACAGTGGTTAGTACTAGAGTTTCAAAAAAGATCGGAACTTTAATCTCAATATTTTGTAGGTTTTTTGTGTGATTTATCCAATTCTGGCTGCACCATTATATCTTACCAGTTCTTTTACTCGCAAAAGAGGATCTTGAAAGTGGTTTGTTGTCACCATGACAGTTGAGAACTGAGGTGAATAAAGTACTGGAGCTTGCACGTAATGGGAAGCTGATAGGTTCAAGCTTAGAAGCAAAGGTTTATCTATGCACAGAGGATGCAGTCATGGCTTCAAAACTACGAGAGATGTGTGCAGCAGAAAACGAGGCCGACACACTTCAACGGATATTCATAACATCACAGGTACGAACCGAAAACTCAGAGGGGTGATATTTTCAAGGTTCAGGTTCCGAGTCAGTTCTCAGGTAGAAACACAACTTGGGTCATTAGTGATTGCAACTCCTTAGTACTCTGAACAGAGCAAACTAGCTCAAAGGTCCCCAGTAAACAAAGTTGCCACAGTATATATCTGAATATTTCAGGATTTTCTTGATCACCCAAGATACTAATATGGGATTAAAAAAAACTCTGGAAAACGTATAAAACCGAAAAAAGCATTTTGTATTTGTTATATCCTCCAAAAAAAACCCAAATTATGTAAGAACTTGTATACATTGGTTCAACTTGGATTACCTGATGCTGAAGTATTCCAATATCGTTTTGTCTGGTCAGTGTATAACTAACCCATGAGACTGTTGATTATGCAAAAACAGGTGGAGGTACTGTCACCAACGGAGAAGGAGAAAGCAGATGCGGAATACAAAGGAGAATATGTTGAAGAAGGAAACAACAGAGTGTGGATAGGAGTGTCTCGAGCCGAAGGCTCCAAGTGTGAGAGATGTTGGAATTACTCTTCAAAGGTTGGCTCGTTTCCCGACCACCCTTCCCTCTGCTTCCGCTGCTACAAAGTCATTGTCGCTCTTCCTCCCCCCGAGCCTGCCGTCGCAGCCGTTTAACTGAGATTGTTCCCATTTCTTTGTCTCAAAGGACAATGCCATTCATGTACCATTCATGTAACACGATGTTCTTTGTCGATTTGTTACAAAACAGGGACCGGATTTTACTTGTTTCAATAACGTGAAAGTGAAAATTTTTAACTTTTTCAGGAATGTAAAAGTGAAATTTTTGACAAGTTTCAGACCATAAATGTTTCTTGGGAAAGAAGAGTCGTTCAAAAACTAACTTGAACAAAGTTCCTTTACCCCATGCATATGATATCTGGGATAATCAAGCATCGAAATCAAACTCATCCATTCCGATCTAACGTACAAATTTATGGTAAACCCAGGAAAATCCGGGAGAGAGAGAGAGGTCATAGCTCAAGAAACACGGGGGCAACAGGAAGGTTTCTGTCCGAAATATCTATGTTACAGGTCGTCGTTACCATGAACCAGACTCAGTAAAAGCCATCATTTTTCGGACACTGGCTACTGATCATCATCATGTTACAAACAAGTTTCCAGAGTTAGGTCACTGAGATAACAAATCGAGTTCGAGTTTTCTGCATCAGAAAAGTCGTTTTTTTTTTCAGAGTTGGGCACCTGCGTCTCGTGGAGGTTGTTGCAACAACTCTAGTTCTTCTATGTCATCGGACTGGATCTGTATGTCCTGCATGGATCAAATGCAACAGGTTAAGGCTTAAACGCAAGGTCATAGGAGCCTAATGTGTCTGATCACATGGATCACTCATGTAATAAGCTCGATCAAAAGTAATTTGACCATTTCTTTTGACGGGTTTTCTAACACTACCGTTGTTCCCAATGTCTGGTCAGAACACAAGGAATCACACCTCAGTTGAAACAAATGAATATCATACCTGTGTATTTAATAGCTGCTGTTGAGGTTCTGGTTGTGGTTGCGGTTCTTGAGCAACAGGGTATGCCTGTGGCTGAGACATCCTATAATAAGGTTCTTTCAGATCGAGTTTACACGACGATGTCTGCAGGATCCCACCTTGATCGGCACCAGGACCCCACATTTTAGCTGTTTAAACCGATACTTCTGTTTATCAGATCCCGTGGGAAGTATAATAGGCTTCAATCTGATATAATGTGAAAATAAAAAGTAAATCGACCTGATAGAGTTAGATTGATGGTGTAACTCTGAGCGCTATGGGCAACCAAGTGAAGTCTGCCCGTCAGTTCCTGCCCTGCCATGACATGAATAGGCTGCGATAGAACACACCGTATTTGGTACCAGTGGGTTGTAGGCGCACCAGGTGCAGTTGTGAGCCATCTTTGCACCGTGCTGTTGGAAACAAATCAAAGCGATTACATAGTTGTGGTTTAGCAGATGTAGAAAAGAACCATAATCAGAAACAGAGATAACCACGAAAATTTTAGAGGGTGACAAATAAGAAAGAGTTTACCTCCCGTTAAAGAGGACATCAAACCAGCAGGCAAGGCCATGCACTCTGGTACATGTAGAAGCGGTGAACTTCAACGGGATATCGATTTCATAAAATTCTTCTTCCTACAGAAACGAATTCAGAAACAGATGAGATAGAATGTCACACACGCCCTGCACTACACTGTGCACCTAGTAATTCAAGAATATGCAGACGGTATAAAAGAATGCTCCGGAGCGATGTAAAAAACATGAAAATAAGAGGTCATAAACTGTTGTCTGAGAGAGAGAAAGAGAATTGGTCATGTTTCTGGACAGATTCCCAATGTAGAAAGGCTACCTTTATTTGAGTGAAATCTATCACATGAAACATTGGAGGAGCCACCAATAATCTCGGATCAAATGCGTCAACTACAGGCTGTAAGAGAAGTGGAATATGACCCGTGAATAAAAACTTTAAGTTCAAAACAAGAGTAAAAAATCCAGTCGGGGAAGGAATTCGGGATTACAATTGACTGGCATGTAAATTGATATACCTGAGAAAAGTAGCCCCTAGAGGCTGATCCATACAGTGGTGTCAGATCAACTCCGTAGTAGTTCTGTTGTTGCCAGAACAAAGCCTGCATACAGAAGGAAAGCGTGATTATTGAACGCTCATTATCAAAAACCTAAGAAATTTATTAACCCAACAATTTGGTTATATGTTACAAGGAGCAATCTAAGACATCCTTTCCACAAAACCTGTTAACAAATGTAATCTCATACCTTATTTGCCATTTCAATAAATAGGAATTCATCGGTGAATGGTGCCATGTGAATCCTGAAAGTATAAAATGTGGTGAGAAATAAGATACTTTTAGAAAAAACAAAAGAGTTAACCTTTCGAGGGTCAACTTTACCTTCCAAGGGTAGGAAACATTTTGCCATTTGGACCGAGAAAACGATCCCTAGCAATGACATAAGACTCCAGCATTCTCTCATTGACCAATAAGGTGCCTACAGGTAAAATGTTCTGACTATGATACATGCCCTTTCATCATGGATGAAGTTTCTCCACTTTTTGCGGACCAACCAAACTTTGGAGATCACCGGTCCTACATACTAAACTACAATAAAAAGATCACACGATAACCATTATCCTTTAAACACATACCCATTGGTTCAGAGATCAAAACATCTGCTTTCTCAGGCAACTCAACATCCTCAACTTTTCCCTGAATCACCTACACTTGTGCAAGATTCAACAACATCAGACAATGGTTGGCACTGTGTCTGAAAATAGATTAATGAGAAATGAACATTAAGTCTCACTGTTATCCGTTCAGCCAACAACGGGTTCCCAGCAATCAGTTTACGAGCATACTCAGCCATTTCTGATGCTTCCACAGCATAAACATGCTTGGCACCGGCCTAATTTTGCAAAGAAAAAGAATGGGCTTCCCATCAATAAAAGTAAAAGACAAGCAAAATACAGAGACTTTACAGGAATACCATAGTTCTACATTCTTTGGTCTGAATTTTGTATACCTGTGCAGCAAACAATGACAAAATTCCACTCCCTGCGCCCACATCAACCACAACACGACCACTAAAATCTGCACGATTCTCCATCACTGCTGCATAATATGTACCTGGAAGAGAAAAACGAAACATAAACAGCTATTCCCAGTCAAGCAGCTCAGCGAAGATAATTAGAGACATTCCATGATGCATGTACACTTGTCTATATTAACAACAAAAAATTGAACAAGACAGAGGGAACCAATATATCAAAAGTGGGATATCTTACCTGTCCTCACATAATCTTGTAACATATTTTGCTGATGTAGAAGTTGTCCGTAATAATGGAAATACATTTTGGCAGAAGAAGCCTCTATCTTATCGTCAAACTTGCTTTTATTAGCTGAAGCTGTTCCATTTGGCAAGGATGATCCTAGAATGAAAAGAATTAGAAGGCAACAAAGAGGGATTAGGAGAAAATGTCTAGCATAGATTTTATATCAAATAAAGCTTGAAAACGGATGAAAAAAAAGCAATATACTGAAGAGCAGATATTGGATAAGACATGGCCGTATACATGCTAAAGTTCTTCAGAAAGTACAAGAACAAACCTAAATCATTGCAAAGAGAAATGGCAATAGTACTAACAAGGATAACTTCATTAAGCACCATCAAAACAAGAAGCAAGATATTTCAACAGGACAAACATAAACATGAACAATGGAGCACCTTGAACAACAGCATCCTTCCTCCACTCCTCAAAGGCATCACAAAAATTCTCGGTGTCCTTCTCGTTTCTAAATTTGATAATGACTCCACGAGAGAATGAATTCTGGTTCAGAAAATAATTTCACAAGAAGATATACAAAACATCCGGAAAGATATTATCGGTAATGCGCTCTGGAGATATTCAAGGTTCCGCGAGGAAATGATTCATCTCCTAGAAACAACTAATGAAATTGAACTCATAAGTGCCAATAAACATGGGAATCAAGTGAAGCGCACTTAAAATATCCTACATGGGGAGGGTAAGTGAACATATTCTAACCTGAAAGAAAATTAATAGTTTCTCGTACCTCCTTTGAGGAACCGGAACCGTCTGAAATGCAGATTAACTCCATGGGTCCCAGCTTGAATAACTGGGCAAATCAACCAAAATCCAGGGGGGAAAAAGAGAAAGAAAATCACCACAATGTATAAGAGAAACACAGGAGAAGATAAAAAAGCTACATCAACTATCTCGCTTCCAGGAAAACTAGGCGAAAGTACCGAAATTCCACCACTTTAGACTAGTGTTCGTTCAAAAAACACAATGCTGATAGGATTAAACCCTTACATCTCAAAATTCAAACAAAGCACGCAGAATTCAAACTAACAATAGGGAAAATGTGGAAGAAGTCATTAGAAAGAACTCGGGATTTTTTTTTCTCCCAAATCTCCTGGAGTGGTTTCCTACACTACCCTATAAATCAAAGACGTTTCAAACGACATCAAAATTCAAAACAGAACCAATAACCAGCAAGCGAATCGATGGCAAACCTGAGCAGAACTAAGATCAAAACTGAAACCACCAGACGTCTCTGATTCGTAAAATCGGACTTCCGTGACCCCATGAACGCAGGAAAACCTAGCTACAACAAGCGAGGACGATAGAGAAGCCGAAGGAGAGGAGAGTTCGGTGACCGAAACGAGAGCGAATTCTTGCTGTTTAGACTTATGGGGAGCAAAAACCTCCATGATTGAACAGAATCGAGGAAGAGAATGTATAGATACAGTATCTGTGTATATAGACGGGGCAAGGAATTTAGGGTTTTTCGGCGGAGAACTCCTGAACTCCGAGGAAAGTATGAGTGAGAGAATAGGCACGAAGCGAATACCGAGAGAGAGGGACCAGCCGCCAAAGAAGGCAACTGAGGAAACGGTGGTATTTTCGTAATTTGATTCGAAAATGGCGTCCGCTTTTTCTGGGTTTAAGTGGACACGTGGAGAATTGTTATTGATTGAAAAAATGGTTGGATTCTGTCCACTTGGGGCATCAGATATATTTGGGCTTTTAAGCCCATCACAATGCCGGCCCTAAACTTCTTTTTTATTATTATTTTAAATGGAAAATACTAAAAATAGACAATAAAACTTAAAAAGATATATTAAAGAATTATTCTTACACAAGTGTAATTCCATTTCAACAGAATAGTAAATAAATAAAGAAATATAAAAATTCATTGATTTGGATATTAACCTAATAATAATAATAATCGTAATAATAGTTATCTTCGTCGTATTTTAAATAACTAATTCAGATTTTACGTAATATGATATACAAACGATTGAAGTATAAACTATCCAAAAAATAAATTTGCAGACTATGCAATGGCAAAACATTGTAATGCAAAAAAAAAACAGTAATAATAATTTACGCGAGGCAAGTAGCATTAATATTTTTAATCTGTGAGACTAACAAAATAATAATATTTTGGATATGATTCTTAAGTCAAAAAGAAAATATTGTATCACAGGAAAACAATACAAAATATGAAACGTAACAAATAGTGTGATATATCATTTATAATCTGAAAAACTATCTCAGTTATTTCTAAAGGTTATAAATTTTGCTAGTCGTGATTTTAGAATATATATTTTTAGAGAGAATGTACGACGTGGAAATTAAGAGAATGTAAAATAATTGTAAAATTTTAAAAAAAAACGTTAAGTATTGCAAATTGTATGTTGGTCATTCTTACTGAAAAGTTGAGCATAAAAATTTGATATATTAAGATACATTCAAATAAAAATAAAAAAAATCAAACATTTTAAAGATATACTGAAAATAAGATATTAAATCCAACTTTTGTTATTTTAACCGGTAAAATGGAAACATAAAGCATATAATATATAGCTTGTTATCGATAAAAAATCTTGTTACTAAAAAAACTATGAAAAGCCATAAATTATAAGCGCATTCAGGGTTGACGAGCAACGGTTATTAATTCCTATGATACTATTTATTGGTCGTCATGATCATACACCTAGCTTGTCATGTGCAAAAGATACCGTTTTGTTTTCGGATAATGAACAAGAAGATACCAAATAATTTTCTTCCCAAAACAAAGGAAAGATACCATATAGGTTGCATGAAATCATACGTATATAATATAGATACGGGTATGTATATATGAACATATATATATATATATATATGTATGTGTATATATATAGTGGAGTGAAGACAAAGTAGGATCCGTGTTTGCCCCCATCCCCCTACCCCTAGGGCCAATGCATGGGGGATAGGATCGAGGATTGTAACGTGAAGCATTTTCTTTTTCTCCATACCCTTTTCCCTTTTCGTAAAAATACAATCACAAAATCTCCAAGATCGTCTCCAAAAGTGAATCGATGCCCATATGGACGAGGAATGGGCTCAAATTATTCATCATTGTCATGTCTCATATGTCAAACTTATATGTATGCATGTATGCATGTATGTATGTATGTATGTATGTATGTATGTATGTATGTATGTATGTATGTATGTATGTATGTATGTATGTATATATGTATGTATGAGCACGTAAGGTACGTATTAGATTCATTTAATAATTTAATTAAAAATACCATTTTATTACATCTTATTTTCTTCTATTTAAGAACAAAATAATTAACTATTAAATTGCTTGAGTTTCTTACAAAATTTTAAAGTTTTTATTATTGAAAAAATAATATATATTTTTTTATAAAATATGTATTTTTTATAAAACTCATTTTTTATAAAATTTAATTCGATATATAAACGAAATTGAATGATATTCGAATTTTGAATATAAACTACAATTTGTATACTCTCGTTTCATTTTATTTTATACGAAAACGGATAAAGAGAAACTTGGTAGCTGGAATATTTATTTTTTTTGTTCTTTTTATCCGCATGCACATGCAGATATATGATGCATAAATGCACATAGCTCCCAATCCACAAGAAAGCTGCGCCCATCAAAAACTCTCAAAGTAATTATGGGACATACATCGAATTTACTGCCTCTTTTTTATTACAAGAACCTGGACAAATATTTATGACATGTCAACATAGAACTTATTCCTTATTTATTTATTTATTTATTTTAAAAATTACACATTTTTTATTGTGTAAATTAACGATCTAGAGTTATCTAGAAGCTAATTAGAACAATAAAAACTAGCTAGTGTGCTTGTTAGGAACCAGAATAAAGGATTCCTTCCTACCATCCTCTCGTCATTAAATCCGATTCATTTTTTTTATTTTTTATTTTTTGATAAGGTAAATCCGATTCATATTATTTTTATATAATTTTGATTTATTTTTTTTGCTAAAAAAGTAATGGAACATTTATATTATTATCATTAATTATATGTGTAAAGTATCAATTGCCCGTTTTTTTTTTGTAACTATAGGGAATCCCTCTGACTACCTACCCTTACAAACAGAGACGAACTGGCCACCACCCGCGCCTAACAGTCCTATGGACCTCAGTCCGCCGGACCTAGCCACCAGACGCGCCTAACGTTCGGGCCGTAGTTGGGCTTAGGCGCCTGTAGGTCAAACCTCACGCCCACGCGCACGAGCCTGCAACACACGCGGAAGAGGTAAATCAGTCCATTATGATGGACTGATAGACGAGCAGGTCAAAGGCAAGGAAGAGCGATGAGAGGATTCGAACCCTCCACCTCAGCGTGATGCACCCTGCTCCCTTACCACCTGACCTGGCCCCGAAGGACACAATTGCCCGTTTCTACTTTGTCATTAAAGCTTTCTAGTGGTAATTTTTAATTAAATGTGAAGAAACTGTATATGCATGTATATATATATATATAATTGCATACACACATACATGCATAGTGCACATGTGTATATGGTGCCTGCATGTGTGTGTGTGTATATATACACCTCCACCAACATGTGAACTCACTACCAACTTCGATAATCTCATCTCCATACAAACACAAAATCTAACAAAAGGCAATATGTCAGGAGTGTGGGTGTTCAAAAACGGCGTCGTTAGGCTAGTGGAGAATCCTGCGGCGGAGACGACGGTGGATGGGAGCCGCCAAATGAGACGGAAGGTTCTAGTGTACAGACCGAGCAACGAAGTCATGGCCTCGTACGCTGCCCTCGAGCGTAAGCTGTCCGGTTTGGGTTGGGAACGTTACTACGAGGATCCCCATCTTCTTCAGTTCCACAAAAGCTCCACGATCCACCTCATCTCCCTTCCCAAAGATTTCTGCAAGTTCAAGTCCATTCACATGTACGATATTGTCGTCAAGAACCGCAACATGTTCGAAGTTAGAGACATGTGAATATCGAAATCTCTATCATTGAAATGGTTCGAGTGTTTAATTTCCTGTATTTTTTTGGGGTTTAAGAGATCATTGCTTCGGTTTGTCGTTTTCATTGTTATGGTTATGTTGAGTGTAAATATTTTGTCAATGAAGTGTGTCAATTGTATTGCAAGTTTGTCTTATTGAATTGAGTATGTGTATGTATATATATATACACATGTGATATATAACGTGTAGTGAATATTTATTTTGCCCACGTGACGATATTAATTAATCGGTCTATTCGAAAGTATCTATCACTCGCGTAAAATTTGGTAAGTCCTATATTGTTCGTATATGATTAATCCCGTAAAATTCGATCTAGATTAAAAGTCCTGGTCAATAATTATTTATTCATAACATTGTTCGTATGGTTAATAGCGTAAAATCCGATAAACGATTTATGTTTTCTCCTCATCATAGCCATGCTGCAACAACATAGAATGGCAAATCCTTCAATTTAAAATGGAAGAGGAAACCGTAGTAAGATCTCGAGCAAAGATATGTCACAAATAGATAGGTTAAATCAATTTATTTATGATTACCATAATGATTAATTGATTATTCCTTTTTTTATATTTGTTATTTATATGTGAGCCAATTATACTTATCTAAATTTTTTGTGACAAGGGTAAGTTATTTAAAATAAAATTATTCCAAACAAAAAAAGATAAAGAAAAGCATCATACAAATAGTAATTAATTATTATATAAATTCTAGCTTTTTTATGTAATTACAATCAACTACACCGACAACAATTACAACCTACTATATTCTCAAACCATTTCAGTCTTTTTTACGATTTTCTCTATTTTTTCATTTCGCAAGTAAATCCATACCTCTAAAAAATTATTTATAATTCATTAAATATATTAAATAGGCAAGATTCCTTTATATCATCCATTTTAATATATATATTTAAATGTATAATTTGAGTGGGATTTGGGAGAATAAGATTCCTATTAAAAGGTACTTATTCAACAGATTCTACAAAAATCAAATATAGCATAATCAAGTTGTGACCCCGTAGAATTTGATCATATTCCAAGTCAATGCATGCCCAATTACCGATTAGGACAATACCAAAGAAAAGAGAATGTATTGCTATAATGGAAATAAAATAAACTTAAAATCTATTTTCTTATCTATTGGGGAATATTCCAACCCTTTAATTTTCTTTATATTCTGCTAAGAGAAAAATTAGAACATTATAATTCATCTTAATCTTTATAGAATAAAGTAGGAATCATAATCATTTTCAATTATATAGAATAAGTTCGTTGTTATAATCAATAAACCTCTTTTAGCCATTTTGTTTGAAATTATTATTCTACAAAGGATGGAAAAATGTATTCTAAAGGGCACTAACATTAAGAATATGCAAAACAACTATGTATTTTTTCTAAAAAATATATACATAAAAAATTTATTTATGTTATTATAATATCATATCACGCGTAATTCAATTTAACTTTATCTAGAATTGTTTGTTTGATAAATTTTTCTTTTTAATTTGAGTTTTTGTATAGAAAAAAAAGAGAAAAGGTATAAGATTTTCACATTATTTGCCCGTGGTTGTGGACTTGTAGTTTATTTGATTATTGAAAAAATGGACCTCACCTCCACGAAGAAAAGCCCATTAGCCTATTGTTATTTAATCCACTTATAACGAGTCATTATTCACTCCTTTCAAATAACTTCATTCATTATTATTTCTTCATTTTATTTAGAAAATATGATTAAAAAAATTTATTATGCCTTGAACAAAAAAATCTAAATATATATATATATATATATATATATATATATATTTTACTAAAAACCGACAATTTTTTTTAAAGAAAACACAATTTTAAATAATAATATCACATTTTAAATTCCAAATTACAATTCGATAATTTTCCAAATTTATTTGATCCATCTTCATTTGTTTCGGATTTTATTTGATTTTATATAAAAACTGATCATATTTTTATTCACATCGGTGCGGTATTTTCTTAATCTGAATTAAATTTGGTTTGGACTTAATAATGTTATTATAATTTTTCACTATTTATGGGATCAATCCCTACTCTAAAAATATTATTAGATTTTGTTTTTTATTTAGTTCGATCGAGTGAAATCAAACTTATCATTCATACCATGTATTAATATTAAATAAGTAATCTGGTTTATAGATTTAATAACTGAGAAATATTTTAGAAAAATAAATTAAGATAAGTTGAATAAATTTTCAGATATTAGCAACTCATATAGTTGACTTTGAGTGAAAAATTGGATATTTATTTTAGGGATATAAACACAAAAAAACGATACTCCATTGTCAAGCGCATCTGGTGTAGTGGTATCATAGTACCCTCCCACGGTACTGACCGGGGTTCGATTCCCCGGATGCGCATTTTTGTGAACGGTACCGTTTTCTTATGTATTTTGCCAATTTAAAAATTATTTTATTTTCAACACAAATTTTCATTTTTTTCTTTAACCTTTATGCAAAAAAAAAATTAAAATAATTATCTTTTGTCGAAGGGAACATATTTCTGATCTAACATTACAATAACGTGATTAATCTTTGGGTCCTCAAGTCCTAAAATGCATTATATCGTCACCCGCATATAATTAAAAGGGACTAACGAAAGCTTTTAATATGATGGTTTAAAGCAATGTTTTTTTTGTAATTATAGGGAATCCCTGTGACTACCTACCCTTATAAACAGAGATAAACTGGCCACCACCCGCGCCTAACAGTTCCCATGGACCTCAGTCCGCCGGACCTGGTCACCAGGCGCGCCTAACGCTCGGGCCGTAGTTGGGCTTAGGCGCCTGCAGGTCAAACCCCACGCTCACGCGCACAAGCCTACAACACACGCGGAGGAGATAAATCAGCCTATTGTAATGGGTTGACAGGCGAATAGGTCAAGGAGAAGGAAGAGCGACGAAATGATTCGAACCCTCCACCTCAGGTGCTACTCCCCTGCTCCCTTACCACGTGATCTGGCTCCGAAGGGCTTTAAAGCAATGTTTTGCATGCATGGGTTATGTTTCATGAATGTATAGTCGTTATGTATAGTCAATTTAGTATTTTATTGGTAATGATTATAATTTTTGGAAATTCGTGAATAATATTAGTCCAAGTTGGATGGTGGAGAGTTCTTGTCATTTGAAATTTTGAACTTTATTGAAAGACGATGAAACTGCATGTTCTTTTGGTTAGCATGAAAGGCCGCAAAGTGAAGATGCCCCCTAACCAAACTTGCGTTTCGTTGACGATCTGTCTTTATTTAAACTATATATTATAAACCTACATTTATAACGATCCAAATAAAGTCTATATAGAGCTCATAATTTTATGGACGGACGTTAGACCTTATGATATATGTATGGCATGAAAAAAAAAGTGTTAAATGGGGAAAAGAGAGTATAACTCGTCATCCATAAATTAATTAAGCTAAATCGGTTTTCATTAAAGTCATATTTTCATATATATATATATATATATGAATAAAAAAACTATAAACATTCAAATATGTGAGGCCTAGCCTAACTATCTATACACAAGTTAAAAAAAAAAAGGTTTTTATCCAACTTTGATCATTGTATGATATGATGGATTTGCTATTTCATATATCGATTACAAAACCCACTAAGAAAAATGACAAAAGATATGGAAAAAGGAGAAATAAATATCTCATCCAAGTGGACCGTGGATTTTTGTTTTTCTAACGATTACATATTACAAATATCCAAATATTAACCCTACTAGGGGCAATTTCGTCCGAAAAAGTTGGTTACAACGTGGAAAATCATAGGAATTTCCATCTACAGCGAGGACCCGGAGAAACAATGTTCAATCAGAACTGGACGTTGACGAGAGAATCTCGAATCCTCTCTCTCGCTCGCGTTTTTAATTTTGTCAAAGTCAAAAGATTTTCTTCTCTCACCCAAATCTTCAATTTGCGGCAAAAGGATTCGGCAAGGGCGGACTTTTCTCGAGTTTTTTTTGTGTGTCCATATCTCCTCTCTGTTTGCAAGATATCATCAATGGCGGTTCTTCTCACATCACGCGTTTTCAGGAACTAGGTGGCTATCTTTCCTTCTAAAACTAGATTTTGGGAATACCTTTTGTTTACCTTACGTCTCACCATCCATGGCGGTTTGGTCATTCTTGTATCTGTTTCCTTGTATAAGCTCTGTCTCTGTAAATTTGCCCCTTTTCCATCTCTTGATGTGCATATAGATTATGGGTTTTGAGAATTTTATGTACCCAGGTTTTTTTTTCTCTGGGTTTTTATTGATTTAGGCCGTAAAGTATAAACCCTAGAAGATGAGTCCTACGGCAGCGTTGGAAGATCCCGGGCAGATTAAACGCGCGCTCATTGACGCTTCGGCAGGTGCAATTTCCGGTGCTGTTTCTCGCACTGTAACTTCTCCGCTTGACGTCATCAAGATCAGATTTCAGGTAGTTCCGATTTGGCTTTGTTCTTCCGTTTCCTGATTACTTGAATACGCGATGCTGTATATCCTGATAAGAATTGACTTGCTTAGAAGATGTTACACTTGCTGGATTCAATGTGTCGGGTTTTGCATCTTGGGTTCTCTTGTAATCTGGAGGATCTGCGTGATATGCTGTGTGTTAGATTTAGGGTTTTAAGGTTTTGAATCCGGGCTAGGTTGGTTTAGATCTTGTAGCTTAGTCTGTGTGGAGTTACCTTTCATATTGCCAGATGTTCTGAAGAAGGTTTTCGCTCCTTTTACGCACTTGCAGGTTCAACTAGAACCGACAACTTCATGGGCTTTGGTCCGGGGAAATTTGCCGGGAGCATCTAAGTATACTGGTGTGCTACAGGCTTCAAGAGATATATTCAGAGAAGAAGGTTTATTGGTCCGTCTCTTGAAAACTTCCATTCCGTTGATTATTTCTCTTGTTCATGATGAGAAAGCTGTGTAGAGTGATCTGTTTGTTGATAGAGGAGGATCTTCTCATGTCTTCTATCAAATCGTTCTCGCTGAGGTCCAGTCTCCGGTATTTATGCTCAGTACTTCTTTTTCTTTAATCAGGGTTTCTGGCGTGGCAATGTGCCTGCTTTGCTCATGGTTGTGCCATATAATTCAATTCAGTTTACAGTGCTACATAGATTGAAATCAATTGCAGCTGGTTCTTCTAAAACAGGTAAGTGGGTCAGCTTGGATACGATGCTCAGCAGATTACTCCTTAGACATTGTAGTTGCATGGCTAGCTTAGGAGTTAGATAATATGCTTTTGGTAGAAGAATTGTTACTTGATGTTGCTTTATTTAGCATGATGATACATTTCCAAGGCACTTTTTTGTTATTTGAAAGAGAGATCTCATGTAAAGTAATGGTTCTATATTGTATTTGTCATGCATGTGTTTCTTTTCACAGATATGGATGCAAACCTCTAGAGTTATTATGGGAGAAAGGTGTTATTCTATGTTTTACATGTTCACGAGCCATTTTTTATTATCTTGCGATGCAGAGGATCATATTCATTTGAGCCCTTATCTGTCCTTCGTCAGTGGGGCTCTAGCAGGATGCGCTGCAACACTTGGATCATATCCATTTGACCTTTTGCGAACAATACTGGCTTCACAAGGGGAACCTAAGGTCAGTTTTCTTGTGTTGTATGACCATTTTCTCGTTCTAGAAAAAAGGGTTTCTGTCTCAGCTTGCAATCAAGCTACTATAGTCATGAACTTATGACCAACTGTTGTAGTGAAATTCTCAACGCTTTTTGGATATCTGATCACCTTCTAGGAGAGAGAGAATTCTTCTGTGTCGGTACATGATTTGGTTAAAGACTATGTGTAGGTGTACCCCACCATGAGGTCGGCATTTGCAGATATAATCCAAACACGGGGAATAAAAGGACTGTATAATGGTCTATCACCAACACTTGTCGAGATTGTGCCCTATGCCGGGCTGCAGTTTGGCAGTTACGATATGTTCAAGCGTTGGATGATGGTAAGATCACATTACCATATATCCTTTTTTTGTTCCATCTTTTCCTTTTATATCAAGTTTACTTTTGATAATCATTTGGGTTTCATAATCAGGAGTGGAACCGTATAGTTTTGTCCCCCAATAGCAGCTCGGCAGATATTGACAGCAGTAGCCTCTCGAGCTTTCAGTTTTTCCTTTGCGGATTGGCGGCTGGGACTAGCGCAAAACTTGTCTGTCATCCTCTCGACGTCGTGAAGAAAAGATTCCAGGTTAGTTGTGTTCGGTATGCGCAGATTCAATTTTGGCCAAGTATTGTTTGAAAAGATCAGAGCTTTTGCAGCTGGATTTTATCGAGTATATCCGCTTTCATGGCAGATTGAAGGATTGCGGAGACATCCGAGATACGGAGCCCGGGTGGAGAAGAGAGCGTACAGGAACATGTTGGACGGAATAAGACAGATAGTGACGTCGGAGGGCTGGAATGGTCTCTACAAAGGCATCGTGCCTTCCACTGTCAAAGCTGCTCCTGCTGGTGCCGTCACCTTCCTTGCCTACGAATTTGCTTCTGATTTTTTGGAATCTCTCTCTTCTTCTACCTGATGATATTCTTTGCATTTTGCATCTTTTGCTTCCTTTCAATTTTTTTTTTCTACAAAGGTCGAGGTTTTTTTTTTTTTCCAAGTGAGAGATTTCGAGGCCAATTTGGACGCAAGTGTGAAAAAATAAAAGTCATTAAACCCCCAACCAAATCAACATATCTTAAAATCTATAATTATCCATCAGACAACAAACAAAACTAATCTAGAAAGTAGGATAGGATGTGTCCTGTCCTAAACAAAGGAATCAGCTTTGCAAGTCTTCTTGTTGTGACCTAAGCCCTTACACTTACTACACTGAAGCTGACGCTTGATCATATCCAACGGCTCCACCTGCCTCGTCCTCGGCCTTCCCGGCGTCCTCCTCGTCGGTGGCGGCGTCCCCGAAACCCCCCCTTCCGCCGGTTCATCCGTCATCCTGTCTATGTTTGGAACAGGCTGGATCGATTCGGCGTACGTTAACCGGTAACTCTCTACCGTGAAGTATCTGGAGCAATACTCGTAAGGGCTTTTCCCGATGAACCCGATCACTGCAATGGCGTGGCTGCAGGGCAATCCCGAGAGTCTCCACGCCTTGCAGTCGCAGTCACACTGATCTATATCCACTATGTTGATCATGGATTCCCCTCCGTGGACCTCGAACAAGGTCCCGTGAGGCGGAAACACCTCGAGCGACCGAGCGAGTTCCATCTCCTTCTGCAGTTTCTCCTCGTTGGACGGTGTGAGGGCTGTGACCCATTCCCGGGATTGCACCTGACGGGTGTAGATCGATTCCATCATCTTCGCTCGAAGTTCATCGATCATCTGGGTTATCGGCAACTCGTGTGCTTCGGATACCCAACTGTAGAAATCTAGCCCGAAGGTTGAGTTCATCTGGTTATACCTATCTCCCTGGAACAAGGCATTGGCCCAGTGGTGCGGTTCGCTCTCCGCAACCCATGTGAATGCATCTGGCGATATGCTCTTTATATTCTCCAGAGAGCGGGAATAGCCCTCGGGTCTCGGGGCATAAGCAGCCGCATAAAAATCGTTGATCATAAACCGTCTTGCTTCGTGAGAGAACTGCCTCTTCAAATCCATGTTTAGTTTCTCGGCGAGGTGGCGTAGACAGTAGGCATGGTGTCCATTCTCAAAGACCCGAGACAATGCGACCTTCAGACCATTCTGGAAATCCGCAACAAATGTGATCCCACGGGATTCAGACAGCGCCAACTTAAGTTCTTCAAGGAACCAACACCAGTTCTCCTCGGTCTCGGAATCCACAACGGCAAAAGCTATCGGAAATATGCCATCTTCGGCATCGGGAGCCGTGGCAACAAGGAAAACTCCTTGGTATTTGGAGTTTAAGACAGCGCTGTCGAGGAAAAGGAGAGGGCGGCAACCTTGTCTGAACCCGGATACCGAAGCATAGAAAGAAATGAAAAGACGGTGGAAGCTAGAATCTTCTTTTGTCATGAAACTGGCAATACTCCCGGGATTCGTCTCCTTGATCTTGTTGCAGAAAAAGGGTAGCTGACTATATGCCTCCTTATACGAGCCTTGGAGCTGTTCTCTGGCAATTTCTTTCGCTCGCCATGCTTGCGAGTAATTCAATTGAATTCCGTACTCTCTTCTTATGTCCTCAGCAATATCCTTTGGCTTGTAATCCGGAAAGGCTTTCAACTTCTCCTTTATGATGCTTCCGACCCAACCCCTCGTTGCCCGATAACCCGCTTTAACAATTGCTCTCTCGCATGTATGCCTCGGGTTCATTTTCTTGATGCATATCAATTGGGTGGTTGACAATCTCGATGCAGTAATCCGCCATGGACAACCTTGAGCTTTGCATTTCACGGAAACACGATGGCTATCGTTTTTCTTGTATTTGTAGGTAAACCCGTGAGCGATTGAATACTTGTGAAGCGCATCCCGGAATTCGGTAAAGCTGCTGAACCTCTGATCGACGCCCGTGATGGCGTTTTCCCACTGCTGTGCTGCTTTGTGATGTTTCTCGTCGGTCAGAATGAAATTGCACGGCAAAGGGCTTTCGTCTGGCATTGGCATTGCCATTTCGATTTGGAAATCATTTGTCATGTCTTCTCCTACAACATCATCGCCTGCAACTACTACAGGTACCACAGCTTCCGAGGCAGTTGTCCTACTTGACCTGGAAAACCATATCCACACATCAATTCATTAGAAGCTGGAAAAAAAATCATTGCAACTTCTATTCATTCAATAATAAATCATAAATGGCACGAAATTCTTTTCGAATTCTCAAGATTCATTTTCTTGATGCAATGATGCATATTATTCACACAAGTCAAAATTCTATCATTTACAACACAGCAGCAACTCTATAGTCTTCTTTAAGAAAAACCAACTCTAAAAACAAGAAAACAATCAAGGTAAGAGGCAATGCAGAAGAATTTACTGGCAGGCCAAACTTGAAGAACATGCTTTGCAATCAGAAACAAGAACATATATCTACCTACTGGCTGGCATGTTGGATACATTCCTAGCGGTGGCTTCCTCAGGAATGACGAAGATCTCGACGCTCCCAGCATCGGCGGAGAAACTGACCATGCGTTTGAAATCCTTGTCCTTGGATATGGTGATTAGGGTTTTCTTGTTTCCTGGAAGAAAGTACTTGAGTGTCATAATCTCCCAACTAAACCCGAAATTTTCAGCCAACTCCGACTTAAAGTCATTCATCGAAGTGTTCTGATCGATATCTATTGCGTAAGCATCGCCTCCCGAATAGGATAACGATCCATCTTTATTCGTCACAAACTCTCCACCTGACTGGCATATTGCTATGACTTTCTTCGTGGCCATGACCCAATCCCTAAAAGAAAATTCCGAAAGAAACCCAGTATTACAAAGAGAAAAATCTCCAAATGGGCAGATTCAAATTGTCGAAAAGTTCAAAACTTTCAAATTGGATTTCAATCTTCAGCCTACGGATGCGTACAGCAAGCCCGGAGCATCTCAACTTACAGCACCCTAATATCCAAAGATTCCATGATCGAAAAACAGACGAAAAACCGAAACAAAATAAGGAACCCACTGAATTCTGGATTGCGCAAGAACAACGAGGAAGATAAGAATAAACCCTAATAAATGAACAAAATCGGAAAAAAAAACATCGCAGTTTAACCAACCTATAAGATAAAATCGGACATTATCGAACCTTTGATTACGCCAGTGTGAGATAGAGAGATCAAGAAAAGTGGGGTCTTGTTTCTGGCAAATTTCCAAATTTCGAGCCTTTTTCTTCTGAAAGACCGAGAGCGTCCAGCGACAGAGAGAGACGCTGGGTTACGCGTTCGCTTCTTTCGAAAATGCGGGGTAACGCTTAAAACGCAGCGTTTTATCGTATCTTGGAACTCAGGATACAGTGCTTCGCGTCTAGTTTCATCCTGTGTATCTCCGCGTATTGTAGCCGTCGTATATGATAGTTAAAAGATGTCAGTGGACATCAAACATGCATAGGCTTCCCTTCTATTGAACCACCTTCTGTTTCACATCAATGGCTACTCGCAAGACACATAAAAAAGGTAATTTCAGTGAAAAGTATTACACTTTTTTTGTCTATTTACTTGTCCGAAAGCTACCTTCAAAGGATGAATTTGTTGATATATTAGAACGAACCTATCAGATCACATTATATAACCTCCTGAAGCTATATCTCGTAGAAACGAAGCTCAACCATGAATTCTTTCTGTTTCGGTGAATACCAAGCAACGGCCTTTCCAGAACCGAGCACTTGAAGAGCATATTCCACGGCAAATATCGAATTATCCACGTGCAAGATGGGATTAGCTCCGTTCTTAAGATCGATCTGAATTCCCGACTCAACTCTCGCGCTAAACGGTCCGATAATCTGCAACAAAGTTCATGCCAAAAGTTATCGACTTTTTTCGTGGCTGATCACTTGAAAGTTGATGCTGAAATCAGAACAGTCACTTGATTACCTGTTGTTGCAGAGAAACCGAAACTTCAGGGCAGATTCTCTGGAATGCTTCTAGTTTCGGCTGCTGAGAATTGAAAAGATCTTGCGCAATACTAAAGGCACCGGAAGCAAACCTAAGACCTTTAGGGAAGTCCAGTCTAGCATGAAACCGGGTGAGATCCAAGAACGATTTCTGGAAGTTCCCATACTGAGCTGTCAGCGATGCCCGCCCAAATCCATCAGCTAAGAACCCGGATTTTAGCGACGGAAAATGAATAGATAATCCTTCAATACCATCAGAATCCCCTTGAAGTTTCGATCTAATTGAATTTTCACCAAATGCAGCAGTCATTACACCACCTGTGGTACTTATGAAAGTTAGCAGTAACATCAAGAAGCTTAATTTGCACTATTAATCAAACATAGGACTCGCAACTGGTGGCATCTAAAAGGAATTTTCTTATATGATCATTAAACAAAAACAAATTAGTAAATTAGTAATTCAGCAGTAATAAGGAAACCAAAAGATCCCTTACGATACCTAATTATAGAGCTGCTGAATCGGAGGGTGAGATTCACACCCAAAGGTTGTAGGGGTGGATTCTCGATCTTGATAATAGTTATAAGAATGATTTCTTAAAAGAGCTAAAGAAATTCATCATACCAATGATCCCGGATATTGATACACGAGGATCGCAGAGGAAAATGTCAAAGGGCTTGCTGGATCCGAGCTTCTGAGCATTACTCCGCCAAATATCCATGTTTGTCCTATAAGAAACAGCAGTTTTAAGAGACAAACCAGGAAGGAGAGTGGTCGGGACTTCTTCTGTAACATCTCCATTGAGCTTCTTAGGATGCCCGCTGTTGTGATGCAAACAGAAACGGTAACTCGGACCAGACACAGCAGGAAGGGAAGCTAAATCAACAGCCATGGAGAATGGGACGTCCCAATAGTCACCATGTTTATCAACAAAAAGTCCAGGCCAAACTGCCTCTGCGCTCAATGTGTGAAGCGGAAACTGAAACACCATAAAGACAGGAGAAATGTTTCAGAAGAATCACAGTATAGCGTGATAGGATTCTGCATTTTCAGAATGAATGAGACTATCAAACTACTTTTGCCCACTGACCCAATTCCTGAATCCAGATCAAATATTAATCCCAGAAAACCAAAATTCCAACCACATTGGGCAAAATCAATAGGGGCAACAAATCAAAAGGGTGAACAAAGAATTGCCTTGTGATTGAAGACAGCCTTGGCCCTCGGGTTCTGCTCAAGATCACAGTTGTAAGTATCATAGCTAAGAAGCAAAGTATCATCTGGTGTTAACAAAAACTCGGAGCAGAAACCCAGTGCGTACAACGATTTGTCCTGGATATGCTTAACAAAGGTGTTTAAACGAGAAGCTGCGGACGACCCTCGATGAAAACCACCATTCTTCTTCATCTCTGACACAAATCTTTGAACATCGAACTGACCCAGAAGAGACACGAACCTAGATTGTCGGAAAAATGGGCATCGATGAAAAACCGAGAGAAAGTATCATAAAGAAAGGACGGATTCAGCTCACGTACCAGTTATTAGAGAAGGGGAAAGTTAGGACCCGTTGGAGAGACAGCCCGCCTCCGCCTCCGACGCCGTCTCTGGAGGATGGACGGAGAGGCGAGAAGCTGGGAATGAGAGGTGTGGCCATGAAGCGGTGGAAGAACTCAATCTGCTTGGGGCGAGTGAGGCGAGTGCCTCTGGAGAGACCCAGAGGAAGTGGGTCGCCGGGAGTTGGTCGGGCGGTGGCTTCGAGTGTCACCGGCGTCGACATGTCGAGCTCCCAGACATCGCCCTCCGACAGCCATTTCAGCCTGTTCATCGCCGTCGCCGCTCGTTTTCACCCTGACCGATATATGAACTACAACGCCGTCGGTTTTGTTGGTGTGGAATGTATTAATTCACAAAGAACGCGTGCCGTTCTACTTTTTCATAAGAGGACTGCACGCCGGTTTGTCCTGTGGCAAACAGCATTACGTACAACTGGAGCTCGGGTTATGCGACCCGTGATTCGGAAGAACCACGTGACGTTTCTCGTTTCCATGAGAGGACTCCACACCGTTTTGCTCTGACCCAAACCCCTAAAGGAAATTCTAAAAGAAACCCAACATTACAGAGAGAAAAACCACCAATTGCCAATTGGGCACAGATTCAAATTCTCGAAAAGTTCAAAACTTTCGAATTGGATTTCAATCTTCAGCCAACGGATGCCATAGCAAGCCCAGATCATCTCAACTTACGGCACCCTAATATTCAAAAATTGATCACATGATCGAGAAATAGACGAAAAAACGAAATAAAATAAGGAACCCACTGAATTCTGGATTGTGCAAGAACAAGAGGGTAAGAAAAAAAAAACCCTAATAAACTAACAAAATCGGATAAAAAGCGTCGCAGTTTAACCTGAAAGATGAAATCGGACATTAGCGAACCTTGTTTTGGTTACGCCACCAGTGTGAAATAGAGAGATCAAGAAATGGGGTCTTGTTTCGGACAAGTTTCCCACTTTTGAGCACCTAACACCAATACCAATAATATACGACCAAAATATTATGGGCCACGATATATAGCTCCAACAATAATATTGGTCATAACCTATAAGCCCAACATATTAATGCCCCATAATCTATAGGCCTAATTTATAATGTGGATCATAACATATAGGCCTAATCCAACATATTATGGGCCATAACCCATAGGCCCAACGTCGTCATTTTTAGTCGGCCCACAAACCGCAAACAACCTCTCTTCCGCTAGTCTTCGAGTTATCCAATTCATATTATGGGCCGAACATATTATGGGCCAGATCATATAGCTCCGACGTATTATGGGCCATAATCCATGGGCCCTGCTGCAATTCGGAAGAAGCGTGTGCCGTTTCTAGTTTCCATTAGAGGACTCCACGCCGTTTTCTACCGAGCAACACATTGGAGAGACCTCAACATGCCATGGCTTATCTCATTCAACGGGATATTCATACAAAATGAAACTCTTCCGAGTATGGGAATACATAACTGTTCTGGCATATCCACACTTACCATCAGCCACCATTACAAACACCACACTGCTCCGACTCCGGGGGCAAAAAAACTAGTTCTCCATGGCTGAATCGTGAAGCGGGGAATCAGAATCATGAGCCAGTGACTGCAGAGGAAAAGAAAAGGAGAATGATCGAGTAAAAATGCCCATTTCGGGTTTCGAAGATTTGATTTAACGGCATTTGCGGTTTTCTTACCTGTTCCTGCGACCGGAAATACATAAAGGGTGTGTAGTTGAGGAAGTTGGAGACTCTTGAGGTGTATATATCGGCATACCTGAAAACAATTTCCAACCCCAAATTCCGTGAATCTATATGTGGGGAGTTCGAAGTATGCTAAAGTGTGCGGAAAGGTGCATACTTTTCGATCTGTCTCATCAAATGGCTTTTATCCCAAAAACCCGCACGCGAGAGGAAGCCCCACCTGGTCAGAAAAGCCATGAGCTTGTGGAGTTTAAAGATTCATCTAAGGTGGTGCGATATTGTTCAAATGTATTCGTTGTTATTACCTTTTGTTGAAGAGCTCACCGTCTGATTCCAACATCGGACCGATTTTTTCGTCCAGTCTTTGCATTACAATGAGAAGCTTCTGCATCGTCTCCGTTAGTTCTTTGTCATCCAACTTGGTAGCAGCCCGGGTCTGAAAAGGCAACAAGATAAAGCGTTACCACCATTACAAGCAAGCAATGTCCGCCACGATTCTCTCTTTTCTGCATATTATGACTTATCGCATCATTATATTATGTCGGGTGTATATATAGAGAGAACATTATACCTGAGCAGGACGACCTTGGCTGCGTCTTTGATGAGCAAGCCGGAGCTGATTAAAGAGATCTCCGACAACCTCTTTTTTATTTATAAGCTCTATTAGACGAGCTCGATGTCCATGACTACCAATTAGAGCCTTATACTGCACAAGAATGTCATTAAGACAAAGGCCACTCCCGCTTATCAATAATCTGTTTAGGCAAGTTTATCGTAAAAAAGAAAAACGAAAGGGAAAGCAGGGACCGATGATTCAAAACCTCGTGTTCCAATTCACGGCAAATCAGTGCAGTTCGCCACCTGAGATGGACTTTGGATACACTGACATCAGTGTAGATGTGGTCACCGACATACAAAATCTCGTCTCCATGGACGTTGAGTGAGCTCTCCACCATCTGAGCACTTCCTCCCGAGTAAACGCCTCCTGTATTAGACGAAGGGTGATAGAGCAGTAAAAAGGGGTAAGCTTTGGGGGCTGGGGAAAAAAACCCGAGATTCTCGTGGTGGAAAAAAACAATGAGAATTCTTCACCTGTTTCCGCCTTGAAGCATGGACGCATTAATCCCTCACCCGTCATCACTTCGTACAAAGGGTGTGACATCTGAAAGAACTCCGGCTTCCTAGCAGAAACTATAACCTATGCATATGTAACCGAGCTTGTCAATATCAAGCAAGAACAGGAACACACTATCGAAAGAAGAGGAAATTAACGAGAAAAATACGAAACGTTATCTGTAGCCCACTACTCACCATGTCAAAAAGATCCCGCCAGCCCATGTCATTGGGAAGGTATCTATTAAACGAATGCTTCATCATTTTGTCTGTGTACTGGTAATCCGAGTTTGTAATAAGCAATAGCCTTTTACCAGCCTGTGCAGAGACACAACCACATTACTTACAGAAACCGTAATAAAAAAGACATTTTACTCGGAGATCAACTGATATATATACCTCCTTTTGATCCAAAAGAGCTAAAGGTAGTTCTGGGTCTGGTTCCACAAATAATTCAGGACTGGACATTATCTCGTGCTGCACAACAATTAATAATCACTATATGGGCTTCAGCCAAAAAATATTTAGCGAGATGAACTGAGAAATTATCAAACCTTAAGCTGTCCTTCAACATGTGCTCTGAAGAGTGCTTTTCCAACAGCCTGCAAAACTTAAGACAGGAGCTAAGAAAAATGCATGAACTTCGATAAAATGAAGTTAAGGTGCTAGAAATACAAACCTTGTAGAGCCCTTTATAGTCAAGAGGACCGAGATCCGCTGAAATGGCTCCTTCATCGAATCTATCAACCATCTGAAATATGCGAAATCCATGGGATAACAAGAACATCAACTGGGGATGCCGTCGTGAATAATATCCGAGGAATAACATCATGGCAGACAAAAGAATGTCCAAAGAAAAGAACTGTGGTATCATGTTAAAGGAACACCACATTCAGCAGAAGCCATTCATGTCATGGTAATAATATAAGTACCTGCATGTAAGCCACACCCTCTGAGACTGAGAAAAACGTGTTGAGAAACTCCCAACGGCTTTGGTTGCGCAAGTCAACTAGTTCTCTCCCGTATATCTCACTTTCAAGCATTACAATGTCACAGCTAGAAAATTAGTCATCCCTCAAATAAAGAACATAAATAGAACTATATAACAGGTCACCCTCTGACCAGAGGTGTTGTATCATCGACTATACCTGACAGCTCTATTCGATAACATATTTGTCCCGTGCATGGCCCTCTTGACGTAGCCAAATCTATCGGCCTTGACCAAATTACCCTTCTCTTTGTCGATCACGAGACCCCTGATAACCTAATGTGAAAAAGAAATAATTTTGAGATTAAGTAAAAGAAAAAACAGGTAGTAGCCTAAGTAGAATCCTTCAACTTTCACAAGAATAAACACATCACCAAGTCAGGGTCGAAAGCCAGCCCATCAACTCGGAACCCCATATTCCTTAAATTATCCATGCAGTAGTCGTAAGCCCTCCCTTCCCAAGCCTGAAGTAAGGCGATTAGTTCATGTCAGCTACAAAAATTATGGAGGTACTTTCAAGGAGTAAAACATATGATCTTCCTGATTATGCATAATAGCAAAATGTGAACTCACCATGACATTGTAATGCATCAAGGTGTAATCCATGTCATATCCAATCGCACTAATGGACCGGAGATTCAATGTACGACTACAGAATATACCACGAGGCGAGTGTCTTGCCGAAAAAGGACCCTGCAGTATGGTAAACAGCCATGTAAAACCAGTGAAGGCTTTCAACAGAAGGAGAAACATCCCCATTAAGATCTAGTACACATGAACAAGTAACCACGCATCTCGGCAGCTAAATACAAGGGAAATCAACTTCATTAAGGGACAAAACACAAAAGATGTATAACAAAGAAGATGAGGATCAGATTACGGACTGGGATACCCAGGTCTCTAATCAGATTTTCAGCCGCTTGAGCTTCTGTCCTAGCAACCTCCTCGATTGGACCCTTCAAAGTAGCTTGCCCATCAATTCCTGCATGAATATACGCTAAGTTACAATTTCGAACAAAGGACTGTATCAAACCACCCATAAAAAAAGTAAGCTTTTCGTCATAATCAGCAAAAAGGATAGGGGAAAAACATAATCTGAATAGATAATACAAGCAATAGGGCCCCGTAAAGATTCGGCCTTTGCTCATAACACAACATCCCCTGAATATTCGAGCAACACCCAAAATCGATTTCCTATACAACTGCAAGAAAGTTCCCATTGTTCGTGCAATTCCTCATTCAAACCTCGGAATCAACAGCGAAAACTAGTTGAAGGAAATCGGAGATGCGTACCAAAAGACTGAAGAGAATCTAGACTGAGGTTCAAATCACCCTTGGTACTCTGACCCAGATAATCGACGTACTTCGACGACGTAGTGACAGAGAACACCTCGTCTCCCACGGTCACTCCGCCGCCGCGTCCGCCGTCGGCTCCGGCGGCGCTGCAATTGACCATCCTCGTACTGTAACTCCTCCTGTCGGGTATCTTCGCAATGAAAACAGCGGGAGTAGATGAAGCGAAGCTCATCTTCGTCGACATGCTTCCCCAGAGAAGCATTTCGTCCAGCAACGGGTCGACGCTTATGATTCTCTTCCACTTGGCTTTTGATATTATTGAAATGTACTGATAATCTGATCCCAGTGCTTCTTCAGTTCTCGAGTGCCCAACAAAAAACGACAGACCCTCGAAGTGGAAGTCCCGAAAACGGCATGGTGTTTAACCCCTTAACTACATGACAGGTTACAGGAACACGCGTGGATACAAGCGATCAAAGCAATCCATTATCCAATAGCGAGTTTCACATATGATTATGGATAAGCTATTTAATTGAATTTTATAATCTTCAAATATTACATACCATAATATTATACAAAAAGTCTATCTACGATGGTTTAAAATGAATAAAGACGTTTTACTTCCATAAAAAAAATAATCTAATAACGACCATAAGTTGAACCAAGATGACAATTAGGTTCTTTTATATAAATCCGAATCAAATCCCAACGGATAAAAGCCCGTTGGATATTTAAAAAAAAAAAATTAAGTTAATAGAATGTGAAATAAATATAAGAACGGTTAAAAAATATCGAGGCTTATGAATATGAGCACCGTGAAATTTTATTTTGAGGGCAAAAGAGTGTAAATACTGTATAAATTATTAGGATTGAAATATCCTCTACTATAAACAAAAAGCCCTAGCAAAACCATCAACAGCTTAAATACTATCAAATAAAAAATAATCTTTTTTTTTTGGTAAATGTAAAATAATCTAAATTTCAACTCACTCACACCATGTAAATTCTAGTAGCGATTTTAATTATGATGAGAAATTAAATTGAAAGATATTCACTTTATTATTACATTATTTTAGAAAAGGAAATTCGCATAATTATTCGCCGCGAAATGGAAAAGTTTTGACATTATGTTATTTAATACCGTGAATATTATAATTTGAAGATAAAGATTTTATAATTTGGAGACAAACTTCCTCAAATTGTCGGGAGCGTCTTTGACATGGTCCGGTATAGACAGTCCGCAGAAGAGTGTAACACGTGATGTCGATACCATCCTCTTCTTCTCCGGTTCGCCGGTTTTCCCGGTTTTCCATAACCGAACCTCCCACACCTATTCATAATATTTCCAATTATCCTAACGTTAAGAAAAAAAATATAATAGTTCAAATAATAATTGAGGACCAAAGTTTATCAAATTCTTTTGCTCTATATTTTATAAACATAACCACATAGAATTCTAACGTGATTAAAAGGCCATTTTCTAATATGAAGATAACAGATTTATTAAATGTTATGAAAGAATACTAATAAGTGGAGATTGAATCCAATTGAATAAGATACTGTCATCTCGAATCAAATTAACCTCAAGCCTCGAAATCGAATTGTATCTAAATACAATTCTACAAAAACCAAATTGACCTCAAACCAAATAAATATTGAATAGAAATAATAAAAAATAAAGAAAATGAACTTTTTTTAGAAAATTTATAATTTTTGAACTTCTAACGAAAAAAAAATTTATACTGAACCAAATAAAAGAACAGCTGAATATATATTTTTAAAAAAAGAATATAGATAGAACTCGAGTAGAGTCAACTCAGCAGCGCGTGAGCATAGAAATCTAAGCATATGTCCAAAAGAGTCAACGTCGAGAGTTGACGGGGAAGAACAAAGACAAAGTGGGCTAAGAAAATAACAGGTTTTGGGAAAATTCGAGCAAATAATATTCTACAAAATACAATTCAAAAGGTCATAATTTCGATGGTGAAAGAACAGAGGTTGCGCCAAGCAAATTAATAAAAAAAAACTATTATTCAAGCTTGAAAGGTTTAAAATTTTTGTTTCAATATCCAAATTCTATATATATTTTGTATCTTAATTATCAAATGTTGTATAATTATGCCCTGATTTAATTAAATTAAATTAACAAAAAGAATGATATGGATGCGGTGTTTTAGCTAATTGTGATGTTAAAACGCAGAATCTTAAACATTTGGAAATTTCAAATACGTTTTTTTTGTCGTATTGGTCGTTTTTGAATGTGTAAAGTTTGGGTATTAAATAAATAACACGTACAACATGAGGGTAGATTTGAAATTTGTCTTGCAGTTCAAAACCTCAATAGAGGATCAAAATTCGCAGGGACAAAATCCATCCCATAATTTTTCATTCACATCGAATTATGAAAACGAAATCGAATATGAGGCATACCTAACATATGATAGCGTATACACACACACACGTACAATATATTACATATCGACGGACCTGGATAGTTTTGCCGGTGGAGACGGGAAAAGCCTCGGCGAGGATGGAATCGCCGAGATCGGCGGGGTGGAGATGGTGGATCGAGAGGTGGATTCCGGCGACGCGCTTGTAGCCGGAGGCGATCGCAGCGCCGGTGCTGGCGAGTGCCTCGGCGATGAGAGCCGACACCCCGCCGTGCAACACCTTGAACGGCTGACAGCACTTCGCGGTCACGGCGAGGCGTCCGGTGACCCTCACGGCGGACGCCTCCTCGAACTCGAACCCTAGCTCCCTCAGCGGCGGGTCTATCACGTTATCCGGCGATCTCGCATCCATTTTTGGATATCGATGGGTTTTGAGACTTTTCTTTTTACCCGATCGATTCGGGGATTCTGGATTGGAGTCGGTGTGTGAGAAAATGATAATTTTCAGGCTTAATGATACATGCGTGAACGTAATTTCTATTATCATTAATACCTAAATGGGCTGGGCCGTGACGTCATAAATGGGCTCATTAATTCTTTTCTCTATAAAATTGGAACCGCTTCATCCTGTTACCATATTCGGAATATATGTTATAAAACATGAAATTTTTGGAAAACCCCTAAAAAAAACCCTCGAATTTATAAAAAAAAATATACAAATAAACTTTAATTTATAAAATTATCATTCAAACTCTAAATTTGTAACATGTAATTGAATAAAACTTCGAAGTTATAAATTATTACCGTTATAACCCGTTACCGATTTGACTACAATTTCAGGCGATCGGAAATTCACATTTTGCCACATCAGCATTTTTTCGGTCAAAATTTAATCCAATTTGAGAATAAATAAATCTAGTTTTGAAATAAAAAATCATTTAAAATTAGTTCTATGGACTGACATCAGCTTTCCGGACCAACGTGGATTTTCGATCGCCTGAAATTGTGGTCAAATCGGTCAACGGGTCATTAGAGTAACAATTTATAAGTTCGAGATTTTATTAAGTTACATGTTGCAAGTTTGGGGTTTAAATGATAGATTTGCAAGTTGAATATTTAATTGTATATTTTTTTGCAAGAAGTTTTTTTAGGGATTATTCCCAAAAATTTATTCATTGATTCTTACGTTTTTTTTTTGTTTTACAACCGAAGAAACCCAACCACAGTCTCTATATAATAGTCTGTAAACCACATGAAACATATAAATCATCCAAAGGATGATAAATTTATTGGTAGGTGGAACCAAACCTATGATCTATTGGAGAATTATGAGTTCTTTAACCACTTTACCAGATTCCAGAGGGGACAATGGTATTATATATATATATATATATATATATATAGCTTGTAATACACGGTAACAAAATGCCATAATTAACACCATTTATTACGCCGGAAACAAAATTCAATCCCGACGACACTTTCAAAGATCCGCGGCCGGACTAATATCGTCCGACCCACCATCCGTCCACAGATATACTAAATGAGAAACCTCGGTCTTCGAATTATAGGCGTGGATCCCGTCTTCTTGGGCGATCCAAGTGCACGTGTTGTAACCGCAGAAGTCGGTCACAAACTCCTCTTTCGCCCTGAACACGTCGAAGACAGCTCTGTGAACTCTTCCTCCGTGGCTGAACGATAAGCTGCAGAAGAAGAGGGTCGAGTTAAGGAAATCCACGCGGAAACCCCATTGGGTTTCGCCGTTTGTCGGGAGGGATTTGATGCCGAGGTCGTTGTCTTTCGATTTGCAGTGGGCCACGAGAGGAGATTTGTTCGACGGCAGCAAGTTCACTATCTTGACATGGAACTTTGTGAAAGGGCTCAACTCGGCTATTGCAGAATTCACTAGGGTTAGGGTTAGAAGAAGGGTGATGGACATATTACTAGAACTACGCTTCATTTTATTTCTTCTAGAACGTTTGTGAATAATATTTTTTTGTGTTTTTTGGTTTTATTCTTTTATGTTGATGGTTATGGGGCTATATATTAAGCCTTTGGTCGCGGGTGTTGTATGATGAGTTTAAGGTAAGTTACTTACGTGTGTAATGACTAAATTTGCCGGATCAAGAGGGTATTAATTAATGCTCTTATCATATTAGGAATATATATTTAAGAAGATTTAATTTTAGAAAATATATAATTTTTTTTTTTTGGGAAATTCATGAAATTGTGTAGAAAAACAAACTTTTGAATGAATTGAGAGAGAGCTTGATTGCGACTGACGGTATGAGTATGACATGCCGTGTTAATTCATTGCAAATAGAATAATTTTTGCACATTTAGAAGTTTAACCATATTATATGAATGACACGGGACCCAATCGATTCCACGAAGAAATAAAAACTTATATGAATACATGATTTATTAACAGATCTTATTATAAACATTGTCAGCCCAAAACTAATCCAAATCTGCGTCTTATTACAATTTGCTTCACCAAAATCATTTAAATCAAATCAAATCTATATTAATTCACATAAAATTTTGTGACTTTCGAGACAACAGAAACTGTTATAACGCTAGCATTTTCCTCTTTTCTCATTTAACTGATGTATACCTCCCTCCTAAAAATGTTATATTTTGAATCGATATTTTATGAATATATATATATGCATGTGTGTGTGCATGCACGTGTGTCTGTGTGTGTAGTCAAAGAGAAAAGGAAGAAAGTTAAGGTAGTAAAGGAATCTTGAGAGGGCTAATGAAAATGCTGCCATAATGAGAGGATCCAGCACGAATTAAATTTTTATTTGGCGAATCTTATTCTTTTGGACTGCCCTTTAAGAGGGCATATACGGGTTCACACTAGCCATGATTGTACGTATTTTTCTCGTGTATATATATAGGGTCCTCTCATAACCGTAGGTCCACCAAATCAAATACATAACCATATACCAAGAATCACTGCGATATATATCTTCAGAGGAACACAATGGCCAGCAAGAGGTTTTCGTCTGCTTCCGCCACTTCTTCCCTGTTGTTTGCTTTCGTTCTTCTGCTGTTGCTTTCGGGTAACTGCTCTGATTTCTTTATTCAATTTCAATGTTAATCATTCCATTAACAAATCGATGGATATTAACATTATATATATATATATACACGTATATGTATGTATAAACAGGAGAAGCATCGTGCCAAAGTACGTGCAATAACGCAGAATGCAGCAAGTCATGCAAAGCCAAGGGGAAAAAGGGGGGAGTGTGCGTGGCGTTTTTGGGCCCGAAGCGTGTTTTTGGTTGCGTTTGCAATCCCCCAAATTCTTCTCAACCCGAGAGCGACGCTCCATCTATTTGAATGATGTCATGATATATATATGTGGCCTCATATGTATTTCGGAATAGAATACAATTTCGTATCAATATCAATAAAATAAATATATTATCGTTTCGATGAAATTGAGCTATATATAATTATATATATAGACCAATATTTTATGGTACTCAAACTTTAGAGGAAGGGATTTCACATGCTTTGTGCTATGATGATGATGAGGAGGAGATTAATTACCTTTAGCATTTGCTACGCAAATCCGTAGCTAATTCTGAAAAATAAATAAATTAAATTAAAAATAATTAAAATTAGCATTTGTTACGGAAATTTCCGTCGCAAATAATGTTTGTTATTGCGACGGCAACGTCTCCGTCGCATTCCGTCGCATTCCGTCGCAAGTTCCGTAGCTATACGAGGATTTTCTTGTAGTGTATTTGACCTAACTATATCTTTCGGGGATCGGGAAAATCCGGGTGAATACCCCTCCCCATGTTTGGAATTGAACCGAAGCATACTTTGTATGTTCTTCTACTATTAAACCACCCAAATTTGGGGTATATGTAATTTAAATTCATCATGATATGATATGATATTGTTATGTTACATATGAAAATGGTGATGAACAGGGGAAGGAGAAAGTGCAAGTGCAAGTGCAAGTGCAAGGGAAGTGTTCTTGCAAGGACCCGAAGGGTGTTTTGATTATTGCAAGAACTATTACCAAGGATGTAACAGGTTCTGTCTTGACCAGAATTACAGACAAGGAGTTTGTGAGAAAGGCGCTCCTGGAAACTACCCTCTATGTTGTTGCAAACTCTAAACCTATAAAATTATACCTTTCCTACTATATATATGAAACTATGTATACATATACGTGTATGTATACACATGCGTATGCCAATAATTATTATTTTTGGATAACCGAATATTTTTAATTAAACCAATTTCAGACTAATTCTATTTCCGAAATTCTAGTGATGTAAGATTATTATTGTATTTCACAAATAAAATTCGAATTCGGATCCCATTTACGGATCCAAAAAACGAAATTACATATATTTAGGGGAAATCCGATTTTATTATCAAATTACAAAAATATCTTCCGGAAACTTACTTATGGATGCATGCCCAGATGTTTTGGATATATGAGACCCACAAATTTAACTCCGAATCTGATTTTCGATACCCCAAATTTTTTGAGCCCGGTCCATATAATTTCATTTCATCGTTAAGCTAAATCAATATAGCGTTACACTCCGAATTTGATTTATAGCGTTACGGATTTTGTCTTTTCGCACGTGAAAAGTGGGGTAATGAATAAAAAGAAAAGAGGAATAAGTAGGATGGCCATTCGATTCTGGAATAATTCGATTTGATTCTTTTCAGTTTTACAAAATAGATACCAATCACTTATTATATTATATTCGGTTCGGTTTGGTTTTGATTTTGGTTCAGTTCTGGTTTTTATTAAAAAAATTATATTTTCTTAAAACAATTTTGATTTTTTAAGTTTTTTTAAAATTCGGTTCGGTTTGTCTCCGTTTCGAGAAATTCAGTTGTCTAAAAATAGTTGGAATCGAAAAAATTACAGCATTTTTTGGTTTTCCAACGCACACTTCCCTTTTCAGTTTTCAGGCAATATAATTGATATGGTGTGAAATAGGAGACAAAATCCAAATATTTGAACATTTACCAAAAACGGATGATTTCTTAGCATATAAATATCATAATTGATGGGGTTTTTCATTATAATGACTCATGGTGATAATCATATCACTATATATACACATACATAACAACAACAAGATCACAAAATTATACAAACACACACACCATATAGTTAGTGGTATGGTATCTCACAAGATTCAATGGCTAACATGAAATTCTCTTCTCTTTCAACGGCCTTACTCATAATGATTTCTTTTGCCTTCGTACAACTGATTTCGGGTAATTCATTTTGTTTTCTTTTTCTTGCCTTCTTTCTTCTATTAATTATTTCAAAATAAATATCTATATCATTGATGGTATCCAATATCATGTTTCATATGATCTATTTCATAAAGAGTAAATGAAAAGAGAGAAATGGCTATAATGTCATTGGAAAAGGGTTGTATTCACTCATATTTGTGTTACCGTTTGAGTGTTTTTTGGTCATGTGATGGTTTGAAGATGAGAAGGATGATGACGACGATGATGATATATCGTAATCATCGACAATATTCCGTTAAAGAATTTCATATTACGGAACTCTAACTATCCATAATTCTTAATGTTGTGCGATGTTCATAGAAAGATAGATAAAACATTAGATCGGAAATGGGTTTGAATCAAAGTGAGACGAGGCTTGTGTGTGTGTATATATACATATATACATCTACATATATATATATATGTAGTGGTCGTTCTCGAAAACTAATTGATGGAAATCAATTAGGGCAAGGAGCAGTGGCGGATCCAGAAATTTTTTTCAACGGGGGCAACAAATATAAATATGATATAAAATATAAAAAACTAATAAAAATATATTATCAGAAAAATATTTTTCATTATATAGCTAAATTCTCCGATCTTTCATTTTTTTAAATCTATTCCTAACAACTTCATTTATAATTATCTCAAACATATTTTTTTCGATAAAACAAATTAGAAAATCACTCAAAGGCTGATCACCAATCCGATTACGCAAAGTTATTTTAACATGACTAAAAACTGTCATATAAATGAGCAATTTTGAATTTATTCCGTTAAATAGATCATTAAATTTTGGACACTGTAAATTTTTTTGAGAAATTTCTCAATAGATTTCTCTGTTAAATCAATTATGAGATTTGTATAAAAACAAATTTATTAATATGATAGATATTTAGAAATAAATGAATAAAAGATAAAAAAAATATTTAAAATAAAATCCAGAATACTTATATATTTTTGTTGGTTTTAGTTTTTTGGATTTAATTATTATTGGATTTTTATTTTTTTATTTGATAAAAAATTAAACAGAATTAATTTGGAGTTGGTAAAGAATATAAAAAAATGAAGGAGAATGTAAAATTGGTAGAAAAAAAAATTGAAAAAAAAAAGATTTAGGGTTAAAAAAATGAGGGGGCACCATTTCATTTTTAATGGGGGCATTGTTATAATTTAATTAAAACTATAAGTAATATTTCTTTTTTTTAAAATGTGAATGGGGGCATGTGCCCCCACTTATGTGCAAGTAGATCCGCCCATGGCAAGGAGAAAGAAGGGAGCTTCTGTTGCCGGGATGCCCGGGGAAATGCTCGGTAATAAAAGACTGTGACGGGACGTGCAAAAAGGCCGGATTTTTTAACGGAGGGGGCTGCAGAGACGACGGTACATGTTGCTGCAAAGCAGACGTCGACAGGGCGGGATCGCAGCAAGGCCACCGGGAAAGGCCGGGATGCTTGGGGCAATGCTCGGCGATCAAAGACTGTCTCGGGACTTGCCAAAAGGTAGGATTTTCTACAGGGGGCTGCAGAGACGACGATCGCTGCTGCTGCAAGTGAGGAGTTCACGAAGATAATAATAATTCCAGCTGTGCCCCTATTTCGTGATTTCATGTTCCGTCATCGTCCTCCATTGTATTCTCTGAAATAAAACACAACATATATGTTTCTTGAAAGAAAAAAAAATGTCTTCGACCGTACGTGGTGTGGGTGGAATGTTATAGTTATGGATCAAGGTTATATATGTCACAATGATGAGTAAATGAACCGTATAATCTCCTAATTTTGTATGTTCTCTTAAGAATATATGGCACAAATGATTTAAATAGGAATTACAAGGATTGAAATAAAGGACAACCAGAAAATATTCTATATTAATGTAGAAATAAACATTATAGTTAGCAAAATAAGACTTTTTTTTATTTAATTTAATATCCCTCATTTTCTAGATTAATTTAGAAAAAAATATAAATGTTAAGAAAGCCAACCTTAAACACTAACAAACTATATATCCTCTTCAATCGCCCCCCTCTAATAAAAAAAACATAGTTAAAATACATATCATTGGTAGACTTACGTAAGAATAGGATCAAAGGGTCTCAATCATTTTTAAACTCGAGTTAATAATATAATTTTATTTATAAAAATTATAAATTTATCAATAAAACTTTTTTAAAATAAAAAATTAGGATTTCTTCAAAAGTTGTTATATTAAAAGTATTAATTATCATAAACACAGAATCGCATTAAAGAAAATATAATTATCATAAACTAACATAAATATATTAAATATACACTGAAAATTTATTGTGATTATTTTTTTATGAAAAGATAATATTTGAGTCAAATGCATATAAATGGTTACATAAAAAAAAACAGAATAGCAATTTATAAAATAGAAAATTTTGATTAGTAAAATATATTCTTATGACAACATAAGGTGTCACTGCATTTTTAATTAGTATCTATTATTTGTAAAGAAACAGTGATTCATATATCCTAATTTATAATAAATCAATTTTTATCTTTTAATATTAATTATATTGTTTTAGTTAAAAAATATTTAAAATTTTAAAAATTTATTCGTTTTAGTAATTTAATTTGAGCAAAAAATTTAAATGTTATTTAAATGAATTGGGTAAAAAACTGTTTTTTAGAAGAAAAAAACCTTAAAAATTTTTAAACTTGTAATTTGGAATAATTCCATTCTTGAACTTGCAAATATGTCTATTAATTCTCGAACTATTAATTTCCAAATTTGTAAAATTGAATATATTAATCCTTGAACTTGTTAAATAGTTCAATAATCGTTCATAACATTAATTGGTAAAAATAAATGAATTGACTGATCTGAAATGGTGTGTGACATGACAAGGTAATTCAGAAAATTATTGGCACGTATGCAATTTTTGGTTCTTCGAGAAACGGCTTTAATCGAACGTATGCAATTCCCGGTGCCAGTAAGATTGTCAAACCCAACAAATTTTCTTTTCACTTTCCCACCATCCACACGAAACCAAAAAAATTATAGAGAAAAAATTGAGTTATCTCGGAGAAGAGGCTATGAGATGGATCGGACAAGGTGAGACGACAGGTAAGGGGATGCACCGGCCTCGGCGGAGGAGGAGGAGGCACGCCTCTTTCCTTCTTCGTCTTCCTCCTCGTCGTAAATCGGTGGGGCCACCGCCGCAGTTGTACCGCCAGACTCTTCCCGACCACAATCGCTCTCTTGAACCTATATCCCTCCCGGAGAGCCGACGCCGTCAATGATGATAGCGGTGACGAAAATCTACGCCATGATTAAAGCTGGTTTCTTGAAGAACTGAAAATTGCATACGTGACAGTAATTTTCTGAGTTGGTTCGCCACGTCATGCGCTACGTCGGATCAATCAACTTGTTTTTTTGACCAATTAACGTTATGGATGATTATAGAACTGTTTAACAAATTTAGAAATTAATAGGTACCTCTATAAATTAATATTACTCCAAATTACACATCCAAAAATTTTTAGGTTTTTTTTTCTTTTTTTTAAATCTTCTCCGAGTTTTGTATTCGCTTAGTTTTTCGTCTTACAACTATGGGCCATTATTTCAAGCCCAAAACAAGTTGTTACTTTTAACCCATTAGGGTTACCACCCAAAGCCCACCGCATCTTATTTTTGTTATAGATAAAACAAAATATATATTAAAAATAAAAAAAAAATGAATATCAATTTTCTTTGTAATCAAATTTCTTTAAGGTGCCTAATAAAATATCGATTCTGATTAGTCCAGTTTAATTTGGTACATGAACTATATAAATAGATATACTTTACATTTGATTTGAATAACCTAAATATTTATACCTAATTATTGTAAGATGGTATGAGAAGGATTTTTTTTATGGGGACCGAATTAAAGTCTTCAACTCACTGTTTTCAACAAAAATCAGAAATTTTTGTATCGTCGAATCTAAATCTGTAACAAGTATAAATTATCTTCTTTGTACCAGAAACTTCCAAACCTAGAAGGGAACTGAAACTCATAACAAAAAATGAAGAACAAAGACAAGAGAGGACTTAGAAAAAAAAATGAGAGAGAATCTTTGTCTATGCCTTGTTGACTTCTCTGTTCTGTCTATCTTCTTGTTGTTTGTAACCGATGTTTATCTCTCTTGCATGCAATAACTATGTTTATACAGATGGTCGATGATAGTAAATGCCGTGTCAGATATGCAATCGAATAAAACAAAAGGTGTGTGTTAACACAAATATATACACACATTCAGATATTATATATACGAATATATATATATATATATATATGATACGTATATTCAATGTTTGGTGTTACGTAAGACAATAGAAGGAGCTCGTATATAGTAGCGTAATATAGCAAACCCACTCGTCACTGTCGAAGGGGGGGGGGGACATGGATCAGATCAGAAGAAATTATCGCACGTGCTTGTGAGCATTTTCATGGCGATTTCAATCATTCTCTCGCCGATGAATCCAGGCAAGTCGAGGTCTATATATCAACTTATGAGTCACACCGCTTCCATTATATTCATCATTATAAGAAAACCATGATATATAATGTGACTCACCGGTGGATCGAATTTCGTGGGGTTCTAGGACAAGCAGTAGAGGCGGTGCCGGGGGGCAAATGCATCGGACCGTGCAACGTGGTGGCGGAGGGCGCATTCAGATATTATATATACGAATATATATATATATATATATATGATACGTATATTCAATGTTTGGTGTTACGTAAGACAATAGAAGGAGCTCGTATATAGTAGCGTAATATAGCAAACCCACTCGTCACTGTCGAAGGGGGGGGGGGACATGGATCAGAAGAAATTATCGCACGTGCTTGTGAGCATTTTCATGGCGATTTCAATCATTCTCTCGCCGATGAATCCAGGCAAGTCGAGGTCTATATATCAACTTATGAGTCACACCGCTTCCATTATATTCATCATTATAAGAAAACCATGATATATAATGTGACTCACCGGTGGATCGAATTTCGTGGGGTTCTAGGACAAGCAGTAGAGGCGGTGCCGTGGGCCAAATGCATCGGACCGTGCAAAGTGGTGGCGGAGTGCGGACGAGCTTGCCATGATCTCGGGTTTCTGGCCGGCACGTGCGTCAAGTTGACATCCCCTAATGAGTGCTGTTGCTTCTCATATCCTCCCGAGTTCAATTCGTCATCGCCTCGTCCGTGATCTTGATGAAAAACATGTCTTTCTATATAGTTAAGTAAAAATAGTACGCGATGAAATAATTATGTGGCAAATCTATAAACTTTGTATGCTTTTTTACGTATGATCAGGTAAAAGATCCGCACGATTTCACGGATTATTCCTTTTTTTTTAAATTAAATATTTTTTTTATATTTTTTTTATATAATTGTTATAAAAAAAGATATCAAATTTTTGTTTAACATAGAAAAAAAAATGATAATTGGTTATCATTGGTGCTCACCCGGAATCCCTGATATATGGAGTGAACTCCTCGTTGCTCAGTTATATATTTTCTTTGAAAAACAAACTTGGAAAAAAAAAAAGTATAACTGATTAATTTTTCTTTGAAATTAATTACTTATAACAATATCAGTTATACAAAAATGTATATCCATATGATATATATATATATATATATAAAATTTAAATGTAAAAAAAATACATGTAGTGCCACCAAAAAAAATAATTTTAAAAAATAAATAAACATATAAATACCAGCGAAAATAAGGGAGCGGGCATTGCTAAAAAAAGAAGAAGAAGAAGCTAAGAGCGTCAGCTATTTATGGATTTTTTTTTCTAATATAAATAGATGAAAAAATCGAATTCAAGACTCTTCCAACTGCAAAGATTTTATAAATCATTTGTAAAAATTGAAATCTACAATCAAAAGTGTTTTATTCGACATACACTTGATTACGGCTTGATCCGGTATAAATTATTATTTCGTATAGCCTTTTTATTTGATTTAATAAAAAAGTTTCACAAAAACCCACCCATTGACGGTGAATCCAATGAGAAATATACACTTTTTTTTTTCACTTCACAAGATTCTATTTTAATTGCAAAATTAATAGCAGTAAAATGCAAATTAATGATTAATTACAACATACCCAATGCATGCTTGTATCGTGTCACAGCTATGTGCATGCTTATCTACTTCAAAAAAAAAAAAAATGGGTGACCCACCAAATTTTATGTGACTATAAAACGTCATATACTATAATTCAAAACTAAACCACCCGTAGAAAGACATATCATTAGTAATAATAATAACAAGTCCCATTATCAAGAAAGAAATAAAAAAAACATGGAACATAAGGGATTCTCCATGGCGATTTCGATCATTTTCCTACTCCTAATCTCAGGTCAGTCGGTCTATATATACATATATGTATGTATACACAGTTACTACATATACGTATGAATTAAAATCACTACGGTATCATCTGTGTTTGAGGTTATAAATTCGATTCATGTAGGGGGAGGGGTAGAAGGGGAGCCTCAGCCGCCAATGAAATGCCTTGGGCCGTGCGCAATCATACCGAATTGCGACCACATGTGCAAGGGAGAAGGGTATTACATCGGCCAGTGTATGGGATGGAAGATCGCCGACCAGTGCTGTTGCATCGTGCTCCATCCCCCTACCCTCCATCCTTCTCCATCGAATTAATTAATCGAAATTTGTGTTTAAAAAAAAATTCAGTTCATGAATAAGACTGATACTATGAGATGAAGTGAAGTTATGATTTTCTGTTTCGATATATATTAAGCGCATATATATATATATGGAGATAATATAAAACATATATTATATATATATATAGTTATTTTTATAGTTTGCGATATGTTCGTGACAATGCATAGTGGTAAATTATAGTGGTAAATTTTTGTGTTGGAAACTTTTGGTTTTGAATAGTATTGGTTTTTATTTTGGGTTTTTGGCTTTAATTTTTAGTTTTTGGTTTTTAGTTTTTGGTTTTTGGTTTTTGGTTTTTGGCTTTTGGATTCTGAAAGTTTATAAATCTAAAAAAAAGTGGTTTTTAGTTTTTAGTTCAAATTTTTCCATAAAGTGGTTTTTCTGGTTTTTAGGAAAACCAAATTTAAAAAACTTGATTGACAATTTTTTGAGTTTTTAAATCCAAAAACTCCCAAAATCATTTGTCATTCAACACCTTAAATTTTTCCAAAGGTAAATGCAGAATTTGATTAAAATGATTCACGATATCATACATAAAATTAAATATATTTTTAAAATGCCATCGTTAAAAAAAGGAAAAGAATTTGGTGGACTGCACAAATTAATTGATTTTTTAGACTATTTTTTATGTTTTCAAATGATTATCATTTTAGATTTTCTAAAAAGGTTTTTAATTTTTTTTTTCAATATTGTTCTTAATAAAAAAACTATCAAATTCCAATAAAATATTGTTTTCTATATATGACCTTTTTTTTCATTTTTTTTGAAATTTACAAATTAAAACGCCAGTTAATTTGAAAGGGAGGCATACCTAAAATATCCATATCATAAGTAATAATTATCATCAGATCCAATGCATGCTTATATTCTATATAAAACTTTGTGCATAGTGCATGCATATTACACACACAAAAAAAGGAAAAAAAAATTGATGGTAATAATAATAGTACTCCAATAATTTGTTTTAGGTTATTTCACATTTTTTTAAGAAAAAAGATAAAAAGTCATATATACATTTATTTAATGATAAAAATAATATTATCATTAATAATTTATTGGAACACTACAAAAAAAATGGTCATTTCCAACGGGCAAATCCGTTGGAAATGACCATTTTTCCGTTGGAAATTAACGTTTCCAACGGATAAATCCGTTGGAATTTCGTCGTTAGAAAACGGTGTCCGTTGGAAAACCGTTGGAATTTTCAACGGAATTTCAACGAATTTTTCCGTTGGAATTTTCCAACGGATTTCCAACCGCAATCCGTTGGAATTTTCCAACGGATATCCAACGGATTTATCGGTTGGAATTTTCCAACCGAATTTCCAACCGATATCCGTTGGAATTTTCCAACGGAATTTCCAACCGCAATCCGTTGGAACATTCCAACAAAAAATTCAAAATATATTCTCGATCCCGACCCCGGCCCCGACATCTATCCCGATACCAATCCCGATCCCGGATCCCGACCTCCGGCTCCGATCCCCCGGCCCAACTCCGACCCCGACATCTATCCCGATCCCGATCCCCCAGCTCACTTCCCAGTAGGTCACCCATCCTTCCACTGCTCCAGCTCAATCCTCCTTAACCCTGGAGTTCCAATTGACAATCATCCAACTGCTCCAAGTTAAACTTCTGATATTACATAACATTAATATATATACATATATAAATGTTTATACATATAAATATTTATATACATACATATATACATACATATACATATATATAAATATTTATATATATACATACATATATATA